AATAATACACCGTAATAGCCGGTGGTTGTTTTTCTAACGTAGGCCATGGTTTTCCGTGGTAATTGTTTTATATTTAACCGCCACGAATTTTCGGTTAAGTAGCAAAAATAAAGCGAGTGTTTAATCCACGTATTAAAACGGAAGTTTTGTTTTGCATAAATAATGATACGAATTTAGATCGACCTACTTCAACAAAGAAAAGATAAATCAGAATGATACTCCAAAGTTACAATTTTGCACTTATTAAAGTACATAAATGGGCAAACTTAACAAGCAATCATTTGGAACGTGAATGTCTGTTACGGAGGGTTAAAATTTGGACATTAATAACTTTGATGTTCTAATGACTTCTTTATGCTGTTTTGACGCGCAGGTTTACATTTTGTTTCGTATGCATAAATGGAAATAAACCAGTATGTTGTTATTAGACAACACGTAAATACATAGTACGTTTTTTTATCGAGGTAGTTATTAAGACAATTATTCAAACTAATTCTATCGCCCTCTTGTAATCGAAGCAGTTACAGCCGGAAAAACTCTGTGAATTAACACATGTAATTGTCAGTCATTAACAAAATTTAAGTGATAAATTATTGCCATTTGAACCACTCCTACCCTTAATTTTATATCATGCGGGCATTTTCAACGACCTCTTGCAATAAAATCAATTCACGTCACAGCGGACGTAATTAAAAGAGTAGTTATTAGAAATATCACTGCTAACCCTAACCTCACTTTCATTTTTGACAAATCGTCAAACATAGTTCACTTTGATAACGTTTTTATTGTACAACATAATTCGAATTCGAACGTAGAGATTTTAGCATGAATTTTTAAACGATCGACAACCGCAAATTGATTGGTATGGCAGCAGTTTGAATTATTTTCCAAATTCAGGTGCTCTTTATTTAAACTGACGCCCGTAATTTAATTCAGTACATTTTTTAATTAGTCACATTAGTTTTATTTATTCTAACCGAAGTGAGGTTTATTAAAGCTAATTTCGATCGAGCGATTGAACCAATATTCAATTCAAAACTAAATTTCCTCAAAAGAATTTCATGCGGCTTTATTTTTTGTCTCCTAATCTGGAAACGCTCTTGAGGAGATAATCAATGGGCAATCTAGACAAGCGAGTAAGCGAAGAGATAAGAAACAAGGGCGAGATAAAAAAGACAACAGGATCGTGGGTTATTCGTTGATGCTACGTATGAAGTGTATAAATCCTGCAGTCGTGACCTTATTATTAACTCGAATTTTTTGTTGTTAAAAATTGTATCAATAATTTAAAGAATACTGAATGCAAACACAAAAAATTGGTCTAAAGAGTTTAGACAGTACTTCCCTTGCTTTCGGAATCGTGACGACTGCATGCCTATTATGTCTTTTTTCGTATTACATGTTTGTAGCGGGGCATTTTAAAACAAATTGAGTATTCATTGTTTAATTTTGTCATTATTTGGCATTGACATTTTTGTCATTTTTTTTGTGATTGCTATGACTGCTTATTAAAAAAAAATTAAAGTGGACGAAGTCGTCTCTGGGGTGTATAATATGTTGCATATGCAAAAATTGCCAGGCGTGAACAGATAAAAGGAACACCCTGTGCAGTTCTTGTAATTTAAGACAAATAGCCATAACATTTATCAATCTGTAGACGTGACGGTGAAACACAAACTAAACTAAAACATGTTTTCCACGAACTGGAATAACTGGATGACAATGCCGACGGTCCAGATTTTTTTATTGCTCTGACTTACGTTTATTGAATAAAACACATTTTTTCGGTTTTTGGATGCTGTAATTCACATTTGGTTAATTATAACTTCTCTAGATCTAGGGGAGCATCCCCTAGCCTCCCCCTAGCTACGGCCTTGTCTAGGGGTTATGAAATATCGAGAAAATTTGAAAATAACAAATTGCTTAAAGGATTCCATTACTTAGGTAACCTCGATAAGAAAAACAAGTGTTTATGTTTATATATCGGAAGAACGTCACGTTGAAATTAGTTTGATTTGAATGAGTTCGGATCAAAACAATTAACTAGTAAGCTGCAATCGAAAAATTTTCTTAATATCATTATTATAATTCTTATTAAATAAAGATGTTTGTATTTTCACATTTTTGGGGAAAATGGGGTCACCCGTTCTTAATTTGATCAATAAAAAATATGAATGCTATAATAAACAAGTAAAAACTCATCATATTTGGCACATTTTGGGTAGAATTTATTCGGCAAAATTTTGAGATAACGTCATCAAATTTTTGGGGGAAATAAACAGACTTATTTTGGTTAACAATTTACCATGTTTACAATGACCTTAAAACGTCTACAAGATTTCAAAGTATTCAGTTTTGCAATTCTTGATTAAAGCAATAAAATAAATTCACGCATTCATTATTTTTTTTTGAGTCACTCTGTATATACAAATCCAAAAAATATTAATGGAATGATAAATCACAAGTACAGACTCATCATATTTTGTACATTTTAAATAGGATTTATTCGGCAAACCTTTGAGCTAACGTCATCAATTTTTTGGAAGGGATAAGTCAATATATTTTGATTACAAATTTATCATGCTTATTATAACTGTAAAACATCTGCAAGATTTAAAATCATTCGGTTTTGCAGATTCAAAATTAAATTGCAAAATGCTGTTTTATAATTTTGATTTTTTTTTCAAAAATCTGGACATTTCGGGTAAACACTCAATGCACTCATAAACTACATGTGCAGGACTATGTTATTTCATACAATTTAAAACCCATTTACTATGAGCAATTTTGAAGTGACGTCATCACATTATTGGTGGGGATAATTAGGCAAGTTTTGGTTAGCGTTTTACCATCTACATGATATTCCTAATACACAATCGGCCCAATACTTTCAGAGATTATCTGTCTAATAAAAATCCGGGACGATAGACAGACAGATGGACTGATAGACAGACGAAAACAGCAGGCTTATTTCTTCGTATTCTACGGGTCATGAAAGGTCGAGAAAAGAATTGAATAAAACTTGCACTAATAAAATTGCACAAATCCCTACAATTAACTTTAGTGTACCCCTCTTTAGTTATCACTATGGGTTTTGCTGAACGGGTGCACTTCTGCAATCGCTTTTTACATTATTCGTTGAATGAAGCAATGAAAATGACATATTTCGTGTTTTCTGATTGATCACAGCACAAATTAGCCTTAATTAGATGGTCACACGAGTACCCACTGCAATCAATACACTCAACCTGCAAACATTGTTCGCAAAAACTGTGTGTTTTTACTTAAAATAACAGTTGCCCTAGGAAAAATACACTGCCTCTCTGTATAAAATTAATTGTTTTCAGCGTTATTTAAAATTGCTTGGATGGTATTATATTTCCATTAACGAATCAGGTGTAGTGCTGTTTAGAATCGAGATTTTAGCGGAACAAATTTTAAAGTTTTGTGTATACACAAAGGTAGGAACCAAATTGGTTTTAACTTTGCCTTTTTTATTTGCCTTTCCATTAAATACCGATGCAGTTTCAGTGCGGCTTCCGAAATAAAATGATTAAGTTCGATGGTGCGCGAGTGAATTAATTAAAGCTGTGTAATTATAAAGTACACATGTCAGTAGCGTGATGTGTTACTGCTAAAACTAATTAAGAGAAAATCCTAACAGCTTTCCCATTACGGAATTCGAATTAAAAGCGTAAATTTTTTCGACGGTCCCGTACAGGGAAGACGCATTAAAACTTCGCCCGATTTTTAACTATTTTATGTTTTGAGAGATACGTTTATGACGTTTTTTAGTAACTTATCCCATCCCACTTACAGCCTTTCCTCTTTTATATGTTTCTGATCCTCCCACTCGCTCTTTCTCTGTCTTGCTCTCTCGCTCCCGCTCTTTTCTCCCTACTAAATATAAACAAACAGCAATCTGACTTCTAAATTAGAAAAACTCTAACTATATGTAGAAAAATGAAGTGATAAAGTGTTCTCTTAACGTGACATTTTCAAGTATCTGGTCGTTTACTCCTGTGCACGTATTTCTGCACGTGTTCCGTATTCAGAGTACGAAATCACGTGAAACAGCATATACGAGGAAGATAATGACTTCTTTAATGGTCTTGTACCTGTTTTTCCATTTGAAGCCATTCCGAGCGATGACAAATTCAGCGTAGCACGGGCTAATTCGAGAGAGAAGTTCCAGATCCTTAAATCGCGAGTCGCGATGTAGGTATATATGAAAAATGGTAATTTTTTAAAGTGAAACTGATTCGAATTCTGAAAATGTTACATAACTTTGACTGGAACAACACACAAAAAAAATGTTAAGTGCATGTAATGGTTATGGATAATGCTTCTGTCGATGTACTTTGACGAGTTAGTTGTTAAATTTGCGCCATAAAATAGCAAAGAGTTACTTAATTAGTGATTTTGTTGGTGCAGTTAGAACAAGGTACATAGAATAGTTTTGATTTTTTTCGTCAAATGTGTAGGAGGGTCAGAATCCGGTTTAGCTCGCTTGACCATTAATGCCCATTATTCTTAATACTGCTTCTGTGTGGAGATGAAAATTTGATGAATTTTTCTCAAGTTCCCGTGCCGGAAAAGTCAATATTGCAAAAGAAACGTGTAATGTTAAATCCAGAGGGATGATTTATAAGGTCGTTAAACTTTCGTCGGCTCCGAGTCGATTTAAAGAGTTAAAAAAGGAAATAATACATTGCTTCTCATTGTGAAGTTTTTACGGCGCACCCTCTCCGGAGAAAAAGTTCTTAAAATTGGGCAGATTTTCCCATCTTATGCAACATTATCTGTACAGTTTGCGATAACAGTAATGAGAGTAAACCGCAGTTTGTGAGCAAACAAGCAGATGTGGCAGAACGAGGTCCTCTTAACCGAGATTTGTTAAATAATTAAAGTTAAGCCCATTTAGAGACGGACATATAATTGGGAGGGTTCCGTGATTGGGTGGAAGAATTTTGTCGAGTAAGTTTTTACGAGATTCATACCTTGAACGATGAGACGAACGATTCCGTCGGGCTTGGGTCTGCTATTAACTAAGCAAACATAGTCACCACTGTCCTCGGCAATTGCGGGGTGGAAACTTAATCCGAAGGTATCCTGAAGAAGTGTGATGCGATGCTGATTATCCCAGACCGTGGTGGAATCACTCATGAACTCCACCAGCTTGACGTGGTGACTTAAGGAGAGCCATTCTAAGGCTAACACTAGAGAGTGTTCATTTACTCCAGGACAAGCAAGAGATTTGTTGTCTCCAGATTTGATGATGATACTTTGGACAGGCAAGTTCGTTACGTCTGCAAAACACAACAAATAACACAGTGAACTGCACAGTTTGTAATGCACATGCGATATGATTCTTACGTCATTCATAAATTCCACAACTTTCTTGGCTATCTCGCGAAAAATCGCGATTGTTATTTGCAAAGACCAATAAGTGAAGATTGTTCGCTCCAAATAAACCCTACGGGACACGAACACATACCGCGACCACAGTATTGACTAACTACTAACTTATTTGAAATGGACACTTCAATATATTGTCACAGCTTCTGTCACAATTCTCAATTTGGATTTCTAGAGGGGTGTTCTGTCACCGAACTTCTTTCATCAACACAGACTTTGATCACGTACCACCCTAATAGATCTATCACTGTTTTTTAAGCAGTTAGTAGTTAAGTAGTACCCTAGGGGTCTGCTTTGGGTCCGTTTCTTTTCTTGATCTACAGGTCGAAATGATAATTTACGTAGTCGGATCATACAATATTTTTTGTAAAATTGAATTTCTACGGACTTCATCTGTGGTGGTACCATCTCACAGTTCCTTGCATAGAATTTGCCACTACCTATGTATCACCAGCTCCAGTTCAGTGGGGCCTACGTAACAGAATATGGTGCTCTATTCACCTTCGGGGAAATATAAAAGTCGTTTTCTTTTGGACATTAAAAAAGCGAATCTTGAGATTTCGCAAAATTTTTCCAAAATTTAAAGTTTATGAACATTTTATTACACTACTTTTGTAGTGTTGCTAATGCAATTGAAATTTTCTATTCTAGACCTAAATAGAAGTACTGAGATACTTGCAAGGGGTAGTTTTTTGTTGTTGTTAATTATTTAATCAAACAATGTTTATTGCGCAAACCGTGATATGAGTGTTGCAAATGTTTGCAATACTCATACTTATGTCTATATGAAAAGTAATAAAAATGTCAGAAGCGTCATATTTGCGTTACCTAATATTGATCGAGCTCGTAATAGACTTTAAATGACGTTTTTGAGAAAAGCTGAAATTTGCACCCAACATCTCAGAGGTCAAAATTGCCTTTTACGCCTCCGAAATGCGGCGTCCCCGAGCAACCTATTAAAAATCAATCATCTGACTCGCGTTCTTTATTTATAAAACGTTATGCAAATAAATTCTCAAGATTCCTCACAAAATAAAATTCTAAGCAAGAAGCCTTCTCTCTGATCCTATCAGTTCTCTCCGTAGACCCCGGATACTTAAGGGAGTTTTCCAAACTTAACTACTAAATTTACAGATTGTACATTCCTCTTGTTACACAGTGAACTGTTTTTTGAGCTTTGATACACCGCGTCTGCAATAATACCCTTTCGTCTCATGCATATTTAACAATATTCACATTGTTTTTTTTTTCTTTCTCAGTCGGCGATATCTTTCACCTGTTGAAAGTTCTAACGGCCTTCCTTAACAAAGTATACTTACCCAATCCTAATAGAATACGATTTTATCATTATTCATTCTCGAGTGCACAGAGTCTCATTTGCATAACGCCTTTGTGGCCAAGGTTCCACAAAATTATTTCTAATAAGCTTCCACCACGATGAACTTGTACAAAGTACAACAAAACGAACGAAGTACTTATACACTTGAAATTTTACGGCCCTTCTATGCAAGGGGATCGGTTATTTAATTCCAAATCTAATCATAAACCCTCAGAAAGTTTAATAAAATACCCATCTCGATAACTTTTACTTCCTTCGACACTAAAAGCAAGTAATTGGCTTAACTTTCGAAAATATTTTCGGAAATTTATCATTCGAAATAATTTTCGTTTGTAGCTCGTTAAAATAAAGGAGAAGTTTCATCAAACAACTTCCACGTTTTCTCGGAGTCTATTGTGAAACGAAACCAATTTTTTGTAAATATAAAGTCAACCACCAAGTTTGAACAGGAGGGCTAACATTTACCGTCGGGTAGGATTCGTTATCTCACCAAAAGGGATGTCACTTTAGTGTCCCAGATATTGTTTCTGTTACAACGAAAATCTCATCACATTGATCATAAGTTTGTTGACTAGTGATGGATGGCCTATTAGGCAGCAAAATATAATATACTTCGTCTCCCAAAGCGCGCGGTCTTTCATGAAAGAGAAAAAAAAAACTTGATGGCGACATTTTTTTCCATGCTGAGGAGATTTTCCACGTTTCATGCATGATATCTCGTCATTAATTAACGGATTTTCTTTTTGTTGTTGAAACGAAACATGTAACGTTCATTACAAATCGCATCAGCCGCTCAGAAAGAGAGCCTAAAAATTAAATCTTCTTTTCGTAATGGCCTCGAGAAAAATTTTCTCACACACGAAATGCGAGACAGCGCTTTCGAAAGAATAGACGCGATGACTAATTTTCATAAGAAAAATTTCATTTGCCAAATGGCAGTTATTCATCGATTTTACTCCCAATTTTTGTATCGAGAAAGGCGCATCGAAATTTCTCCATTTAAATGTAAATACAAGGAAATTGTAATTCTTACTAAATCTTTAAGTTTCTTAAGCCTCGAGCGGAATCATTCGAAAATATTTGATTAAAGCACTCGCATTTTTTCGGTGGTGCAATTTCAGTAATAGCTAGGGTCAGGCCATAATTTATTATTTATTTAATCATGAGAGATAACTTCCGTCTCGTTCTTGAACATATCCCCTTATATTAATGCATTTTTCATTACCGTAAGTTCGGGAAGTCTTCCGGAGAGAGTTTTTGTCCTAAATCTTGCACTCTTCTAATGATTCATGTTAACAATTTCGGTCTCCATGTTGTGACATATTTCTTTTCCATCCGCTCCATGGTCTCCAGCGCCAACAGCCGTAGGACCTTTATCTACCATAATATGATGAGTGATGACGCACTATCGTCATAAAGTGTCGACATCCTTTCGTAAACTTGTTGGAAATCATTTCCTGTTGTCAAAAATTTTTTACGGTCGTTCGATATTTAATATTTACGAAGGAAAAGTTTTAGAATGCTCAAATTATGAAGGGAGTGCTCTGACAAGTAAATACAGATGAAGACAGAAAAATGTCCTGGATTTTAAGGGAATACGTTTAGGGTGCCACCCTCGTATCTTTGTGGATAATACGTTTTGGTCGATTTTCTTAAGTCTTTGTCGTAGTCAGTGGTGGTGGTAGGCAGATTTTCCAATTGAGAGAACTTCGAGTCCAGTTCTACAAAGCAAAGAAAGAATTTCGGGAAAATCAATGTTGTGTTGTAAAAACCACGCAATATTTGCGGAATACGATATAATGACATCTCATTTTGTGCTAAATATTATCGTATTATCTCGACCCTTTTTCTCGCTAATTTACATTCTGGTTCCGCGGTGATTTTTGCCACAACCTTTTTTATTTGGAATATAATTGTAACAAATGGGGGCGATTTTTTTCACTGCGATTCGTTGCGTTTAATATCGACGATATTGATACAGTTATTCGTCATTAGGAAGTGTAGCTGCTATATGTTAATATCATCGTGCGGGGAGGCAGACGGCCACAGTGCCTTTGCTCATCAATAATTCGTTTATTGTTAGAGCGGTGAGGTTTCTAACAGTCAAATGACCTATCGATCAAGCTCAGCCAGGGACAGATTAAAAATTCTTTAGCGCCCTGCAGGATAGGAGGAATCTTCAATTTACTTAAAGTATGAACGGATGATTTGTTTGTTGTAACCGGTTGAAATTAAACGACACGCGTTAAATTATACCTACACCGGGAGGTATGTACAACGAGCATATAAAATGAGAAGAAAGTAAACATTAATTGTTTTAGGTGATTTTTATGAAAGTCGCTGGGGAGTATTAATTTAAGTGTGTTTCTTTGTTCAACGGAAATATTTAACGTTAAGAGGATATGGCCCATGCATTATTACGCATCGGCATTGTGCAGAGGGATGAAAGGCTCTTTGCTTTGTCAGAAAACAATGTAATTGATTGTGTAGATAATATTATTATACATAAAGAGAGTATAATTATATAATAAAGTTTGGAGAAAACGAGCGAGTTAGAAGAGAGTCTCCCCGTGGTGTTCTTAGTAGTAAGTTATCTGTTATCAAGCCGGGATAAAAAGATGAGAAAGTGGTATTAAACAGAGGGTAAGAAATGGTGCATCCAAGTGTGAGGTATATTTATTTGAGATCCGACGGCTGTTGTAAGTTTTTGGCGCGGTTGGATCCTCTTTTCATTGGCTATATTCGAGGCTAATTCCACACATTTCTCGGCTCTCACCTATTTCAGTCCACTGTTTCACTTAGTTCTCGTTCTGCACCCATTTGTCTCCGTAATATATGTTGCTACCACAGCAGTTTCGATGTTATTTCCTAAGCATAATTCTTGAAAATGCCGCATTCATACTCACTTTACAAATAATTACCCTATTCCCCAAGAACTACGTTTGTTTACCCAAATCTAACCGATCCGTGTTCTTTTAGCACCAACCCACTTCTAATTATCCCACCGTCGAGGCGTCGCTTTAAAACTTCCAAACTTTTATTCGTGCTACATGTAACGCGCGCCCTTCAATACTTACTTCTATTATACCCTTTAGCATAGTCGAACTTTCTTCAAAGAAGGATTTTTTTACCTTCCCATTTATTCGCCATCTTCGTTCATAAATAATTTTTGTTGTTGTTCGGAAATATGGCAGCGTCATACGTGCGTCGAATTTTTCAAACTTTTATCCTTTTCGCATAAATTTAATGAAAGTAGTTATTTTTTCGACGACGTTAACGTATCGTTCTCAAGCTTCTAATCTTCTCCCTCGTTGTCCGCGTAGAAAATAAAATTCAAATTGAAAAAGTGGTTCTTCTTGTATGTAAACAGTGATTTGTTTCGGAAGAGGAAGGCAGATTTTCGGAGGGCAGTGGAAGCGCCAAAATATTTTAGGTAATTTACAGCTTCCGAGTGGTTTGTTAAAAATAATAAGGCCATAAACGTAAAGGGCAATTTTAACAGGCATGCTTTTCTGTGCTAGACTTAAATGAAGATGGTGGCATTTTGTTTTATGTTTGGGATAAAAACCAGGTAGAACGGTTGGATATTTAAGTGTTGCGCGGTTTCCCCCTTTAGAATTTTGATTGGATAAAGAGTGGATTTAAAGTCTATAAATAAAAATAAAAAAGTTTTTCTCTTTTCGTTGCGAAATCTCGGCGTATTAAATGTAACACAATTTATACGATAATCCCGTCAAATGGCATGTGTGATGCATATTTGATTTTTTTTTTTGAGATATCTTACGAGAGCACGCGTGTGTAAAAAACGACGTATGACAAGGCCATGTTTAATATCTTGTCAATTCTGGTGATATACACGTGACACAAATCTGTTTCAATTTCATTAAGTCTTAATGGATATCGATGGAAATGTGTTGATTCGGCAAATTATTCTCCCGTATCCGCTGTATAGCATCAGTCGGAAATTTAGTTTTATGTCCTTAGTATACGGGATCAAGAGATTTGTTTGTTTTTTATGTGTTCCAAGTGCGGTCCCTTAATCAAGGTAATTGGTTTGGGGGTTCGTCCGAATTGCATGATATGGAATCGGCGATTAATTTCGGCGATACATTATCATTAAAAAGCTATTAAACGAGTCTGAGTAGGAAACGGCGTTACTACTGACACTAGACGCGACAATGTCATAAAGATAAAGTTGGGTTATCCGACGATTCTCTATTTTTAGGCGCGATAACTTAGCGCTTTTATCTCGACGGTAATAGCTGATTTATGTGTATGAATCTTCCCCATTCGGTTATTGAAATCAGTGTCACATCCGCGAGGTCCGGATTCCGGATTCCGGATTATTGCAGAAAGCCGGCTTCTGCAATAATCATCGCATGCAAGGATATTTATTTCGGCGGCAACACTCCGGGGTTCATCATGCACGATTACTTTGTTGATTGCGTTCATGCGAGACGCGACACCAAAACAGAGAGACACTCGGCTGATTCATAATACAGCAATTAGTCGGTGGCGGAAATCACGTGTGGATTTGAGACAAAGAAGGGAGAGTCGTGCTGAGCGTGCTGTGCTGCCTTACCGAAGATGCGCTTTTCGTACGCGAAGATCCACGCTGCGAGGACCGTGAAGTAGCAGAAAAACGTCCACATAGTGCCGACTGCACCGAATTAGCAGTACAGCCAAGTCGCACATGCCATCATCATCTCAATTGCACAGTCACATCTCAGAAGTAGAAGCACCGAGAACCGAAGCACATCCTCGTCCGAGTTAACCAAGAGCGGGATATCGCGCTTCCTTGGGCATCGAGTCGCGTGTGCAAGTGTACTGACGTTTCCCTTTATTATAAGCGAACGCCAGTTGTGCGGACATCGCGTGGAGAGGGTAGAAACTAAATCACATAGCCGGCGGCTTTGCCGCCCCCGACTCATTCTCCCTCCTCACGGTCGCAGGCGTGCGCCCTAAGACGCGCGGTTTCGCGCACCCTCGCCGCCACCAGCTCGTGCCCCGCGGATCTTTTGCGTAAACGAATCCGTGTTTCGGCACCGATTTTCAACTTGTAAGCGAGATCGGCAATCGCCCCCATAACTAACCCCCAGGTGTTCGCACGTCGCCATGTTCCAGAAAATCCACTGCACCGAGCTCAAAACTTGGACGAGGCCCACATGCCTCCGCTATTATCCAGAATCCGGCTATAAATTACCAGCTCGCCAACTACACCGGCGATTATTCGCCCGCCAAAAATCGAACATCTTCTGCGAGAGATTTTTTCACACTATTGTTTCAAAATGATTTATGTTAACGACCTACCCAATAATAGCTCCCAACTTGCTCATCCGTGTTTCTGCTGTGCCATGCCTAGAGAAGAAGAAATAGAGCTCGAGAAGAGAGGGGATCGAAAACATTTTTATTCCGACCCTCTCGGGGAAAATTGAATCAATTGGGGTGTTTTAACATTATGGTTTAGTTAGCTAGAGGGCATATCGTTCCGGTACAATAGATTGTTAAATTGCTACAACTCGTGAGAGTTAAATGTCTCACCTGATGTACCGACCATAAAGAACTAACGACCTACTATATACACTACTGCTACCTACCTGATCACTGCATGCGTTCCTTCATTACACGTTTTAATTCTCCTGTATAACGCCAACTGCATTTTATTTCGAATATCAAAACGAAATCTATAACGCTGTCGTTATTTTTTACGTTTACTGCTAATTATACTTCACTCATATGCAAAATTCGATCACCCGATAAGACATGATTGTTTTATACCAAAAGTGCTAAAATAACTTGTGCCTATACAACACTTGGAAAAATCGCTCGCTCGCTCGCTCAGGATATTTCTGCGTCAAATGAGAATTCTATCAAATCTACGTTGACTAAATCGGTCAGAGCGACGTTCGGTGTTGTCGTGAAACGGCCAGTTTCAGAATACCGAGGGAGGAACTAAACCGATGCACCTGATTGGTGGACACGAAATTGCAACTTTTTGACCTGTAAACTTTCCATATTAACATATTTCAATTTTTGTTTATTTTAATTATACATAAAAAGAATATTTTTGTCTCCCGCGTAATTTAACTAACAAATTTGTACAAACATTCAAGAAGTCGATATTTTTTGTTTCGCTCCTGGATTTTTCAAAGTTTTAAGTCAACATAATTTAAATATTGAAAGAAAATAATAAAAAAATAACTTGACTTAATTGCAATTTCTCCTAATGAAAAGAAAATAATTTTTCAGCTTTTGCTGAATTAAAATCGATCAGCGACAACCGTTTTCATGAGTTTTGCAGACACGTGTTTGCACAGACCTACTAATTGAACTTAAAACAAGTACTGTCAAAATGCGTAAAATAGAAATTTTTTTTATTCATTTATTCTGAAACAAAATTTGTCCAACGTTTATAACAATTTTGTACTTTAGATAACTACATACAGTTTAGTCGGCTAATTTGTTTAAGATTTTTTTGTGTCTGAAAAACACAAATCACCCATAGAAAACGGATTACATTTGTGTTTTGAACGTACCCGGTTGAATAGTTCCGGGATCGTCAGGTTAATCACACGACTACAAACGCTCTCTCAGCGACTGACCAGACTCTACCGTCGTAGCTCCGGAAATTTCTGGGCGAGTTCTCACTCATGCGGGCAGATAATTATTTACCCGGTCACCTTTTAAAACACAATTTTAAATTTTTTGTCTTCATTTTTTTATTTCAATTTAAAAAAAAAGTACCTAATTTACCCTAATAGCTTAAATGTCTTTTTAAATAATGTCTCATAAAACTGCGAAAACTTACAAACTTAAATCTTTCCCTAAAAGTCTAGACTAATGGGCCAATTTCAAGTTGGATTTGCGATATCGCAAGTCCCTGTTGCCATGGAAGTTGCGATGTTAGTAGTTGCGATAGCGAATCGCAATCGCACATCGCAACTGTCATCGCATAATGCATCTTACGGGCCAGATTTTTTCTTCTGTGCTTTAGTTTTAGTACTATAACAAAATTATTTTCGTGTTCATTTAATGCGAAAAAACCCTCAACGGGAAGGTATTAATTTCGACGTTTTTTTGTCCATGACAGTATTATGCTTATTACGTATAGGAAAGCCGCGAACCCACGGCTGACACAATTACGTAATTAATACCAGCTCACTTTGATCTCACTTTTTTGTTATTTACCAAAATTATTTTCATGTGTGTTTGTAATAATAATAATAATAATAATAATAGTGTTGAGAATAGAATGATGTCCTTTGGACCATTTTTGATTTTTCGACAATTGGGATGCGGACGAGACGATTTTTCTTTAGAAGCATAATTCGTCCAATTTGGTTTTCTGGGTGCAACCTTTCGCATTCCAGTACTTGCACAAATACGATTGAACTCTTCTGTCACGCGCCAGGTCGAAAACGGAGCAAGGGAGCGGAGCATCGCTACGGGACGGCCGACGGGGGGGCAGCGTTCGGGGCAGCCGTATTTCTGCCAGCGTACTCCCCACCGACATCCTAATAGGCTACGGATTTTTAACAAGGACCATCATTCAAAAGATAAGCTTGTCCTCTCATACCTGGTGCGAATAAATCACTACTTTACTCCTCAAGTTCGCGTACACCATCTTCTCGCATAAAGCCTCTGTTGCACTACACGGAAACATAAATTATAATCGAGAGCGGCGACGCTTTCACCGGAATTTAAAACACCGTGCAGGTAGTTTTATTATGTATTTTAGTTTCAATTTCTAGGTGACGAGAATTGAACCTCCTTGAGCGAGGCGACGGTTGCTGCAAACTCAAGCTGGTTGTCATGCGAAAGATTGTTCTCTCTGGTCCCGCGAGGGTTGACTTTCAACCTCTTTCCGAGGTTTGTCTGGCTGCCTTCACTTGAATACTAATGTTCCAATTTTTCAAAATGTCATCTTGGAAAAATAAACAATTGGATCATTAATGCAAACTTCAACTTCCGTTGTTTGTACTTAAACTAGCAAGATAGGATCCAAAGGCTTTCGTGTTTTTCCCCATCGGAACTTCTTCACGAACACGGACGAAATTGAATTGCGTTGAATAATAAAAGTCAATCGTAATACATTTTAGATTTCAAACCTTTAATGACTACGATTTCTCCGCAAAATACTTTCGTCGGATTGAGAGTTGGCGTTATTGCACTTTTTCTTAATCGCGACGCTTATTTTTATTTTTGCTGAGTCGATTCCGCCATTCCGGGGTTAAATATTTAATAAAACGGAGAAGGAATTTTGTGACGAATAGAGACTCAACAATTGTAATCGGGGAGAAAAAAAAGGCGTTACTGTGAAGCGGGGAGGACACTCTCTCACTTATGAGCGTGCCGAGTTCCGAGTAATTATTGAAAGTCAGTAAATGTGCTGAAGCTCCGGAATATTCCTCCTGGCATCACAAATATGTGTTTAATGAAGATTGTGCATAATTAGAAACTCTACACAAATACTCTTCATAAATAGTGAACGCGTGTGTGGGACTAGTTCAGGATTCCGGTGGCGCAGTGACTAAGCTCATGTACAAGTCCCATAAACCGACCCTACTTAATATCCGAACTGACAACCTTTATTATTTATTATATTATACATCACCTAAATTATTCTCGTACATCAATGTCAGCTTAAACAATCGCTATCTTAGGAAAGACTTAGGGCATTAAGGTGCATGAAGTAAAGATGTCGTCGATTTAAGATCGTTTTTATTACTATTTACACTGTAACAAATTTTGCTGAAAAACTATAAATATGTTTACGTCATACATATAAATAAGTAAGCTCGCAGACAGAAATCTCGGGGTTTCGATCATCGCGCTTCCATCGACGGCAAATCGTCGCCCGGTTGCATCGTCATAAGCGCTAGATCTTCATCGAACATCTGAAAACGTTACGAAAAAATTAATAATTTTTAAAGAGGGTTTTTTTCGAGAAAGATTGAAGCAAAGTGAACAGTATAAAGTAGAAAATGAATAGTTTGAAAAAGGGTCGACAACGAAGTGTCGTATAAATTTTGTGAGGATATAAATTCTGGATTGAATTGAGAGTGGGCGTGAGACATGAGAAGTAGCAACGGGCAACTTAGTGGCAATCCCGTTCGGGAGAAGTACCATTTGTTGGACTGAAGGATTACAAAACGCAGCGCGTGCGGTTGAAGGCGACGATTTAATAGGTATATCAACGGTGTGTAGGTACGTACGTAATCGATGTTGCTCCTGGTCGGGTAAGTGCACGAGTAGCAGTCCATCGAAGACACCCCGTTATCGAAAGCTGAGCATTCGCACTCGACGCACCTAGTGGGTCTCGCCGAGGCGGCGACTCGCTTCGCAAACACGGTCGCGAATTTCTTGACGTTGCCTTTCTTGTCCGACTCCAAGTTTTTGCCACAGAAAATGGTCCCTGAAACACGCCAGAACTATTAATTATATTTTCATTTATTTAACGCCATTCATTATACACAAAATTCGACCGCCCGATCACCCTCATGCTTTTTTATATACAAATGCGCGTCCATTAATCTGATAATTTGTGTCAAGATTCTAGGAAATTCACTTATTCACGTTTAACTTAGTTGCATGAATTTCCGTAAGTTGTAAACTCTTTCTTAATTAAAATCTTTGACGGATTATGGCGTAACTAAATTTTGCGTGTTTGCTGTTTTTAATTAACGATTTAGTTAGAATGGTAATTTTCGACTGCACGTTTCAGTACAAGATGAGTAGTTTGCGAGGGTTCGGATGATACGGTGAGTATGCGGCAGGTCTTTTGTTCATATAGACGTGGGTATGTCGAATCTAGTTTTCGTATACTGGTAAGTTGGTTTTAAATACTTTTATGTGTGATTTCTACCGAGTTGCCGGTTTGGTTAAGATTTCTGCGAAGTGTCTATAGAACAAAAATTACGGATTACATTTGCACCTAGAGCTAGAATTTCTCGATGGCTTTCTTGTTCGGCTGGAGGTTTTTGCCGGCGAAAACGGTCTCTGTAACGTACCAGAACTAGTTAGCCGGCAGACGATGGTCGATACATCAATCTATCACTCAGTAAGATGTATAGATGGTGGTCAGGTGAGGACATACATTTGGATTCCGATTCAGATTGCGATCGGATAGATCGAAACCTTAACCGTAGGGCACGACGGCTGAGTGCTTGCCACGAATCGAGAATAGATACGTCGTCGACACCCCGCCAAACAAAGGACCTCTTCCGGCTTCGTAAATGCTTTATATCCAGAGAATTATCGATATAAAGCGATTAATTTAATAGAACCGTGGCGTAATGAACGGTAATTTACATATGACGCCAGAGACAAGCTAGTATTCATAAAGCGTGATGTGGGTGCACGATCAGACGGTCGGAATTTGTGAACTAGTAAATATTAGGATCAGTCGAGAGCAAACATTTAAAGTGCGAGGAGCTTTCAAAATAAAGGAGGAAAGCGTCGGTTTTCTTCAGATATCCATTAAACGTTGCGTGCGTCTATCGAAGCCCCCGAATCGAGAACCCGTTGTGAGTCCTGCGAATATGGGACTATGGGAGACGGGTGACGGCGGTAGCCAGCGAACATCAGGTTTATCTTGGATCCTGACCGGCGGCGCGCCGAGAGAATGGCCCATTTCGGACTACATGTGCCATGGCATCGGATATATTCAGCCGAGAGAGACAGACTTACCATTAGTTTCTAACGCCAGAGGCGCGCAATAGCCCAGAGTAGATTTCGGAAGGCTGACTTGCTTCCGTAAAGCCGCGTCGCCTATAAGACCGCGAATATCCTTTTTCGTATATGCAGTCGTCGCGCCGATCCCTGAAACAAAAATTTACCCTCAGCATCGATCTCATCGTTCAAACATTAAAACAAAACCAAACGACCGTTATGTGAAAACAAGAAAAGGGTCATTCCAAATTGACGTCATTGCCAGCAACACGTCGACCGACAACCAAACCATCCGAATTTTATTTCGTTAGCCGATAGTCTCGGTAGGCACAGCCGGCCACTTTCATGTTTCGTGTTTTATGCAATGGTCATTAAATCCTTTTCCTGATGTGCTTTGTAACGGAATATTAACGGAATTCCGACAATCTCGTGTGAGTAAGTTCATTATTATTACAGTGACAACAGCTGAGCCTGTTCCATCATTTCCACGAAACCCTGCCCTATTCACTGCAAACGCTACTTTATTTCGTACTAAATGACAACGTTGTACATAAATTTAAACAATCACGTCGAACTAACGATAAAAACCTTGCAATATTCCGGATCACTGGAAACACCTTTCACGATGCTCAGCTTTTCGACATTTCTTTGCGTCTATCTTTATCAATTATCAAGAGCGCGATTGAAACTGACAGTTGGATTGGAACAGTTCCAAATTCGACAAGTTTCAGCATTTTTTCCATTCAAGGTAGACTTTGTTTCCTAGTGATGTTTTACTCGTATTATTTCAAGATGTTACGAGCGCATTGTTGCAGAATCTTTATTCTGCCCTACCGCTTCTGACGTTGCCATTTTTTTTTCGCATACATTTTTTGACCTATAAATTGCCGTTTCTTAAACATTTTTAGAAGCAATATAAATACTCACTTTGCATGCTGAAAATATCTCGGAACAAATTATGGATTTGTTATACGAAGTAATATGAAAAAACTCGCTTCGCTCCATGATTCTCTTTTAAAAGTAATAACGTATTATTTCTCTCAATGAAAGAATGTCGGAGACGAAATATAAATTTCCTCGTTCATAAGAGTGACGAATGAGAAAGCAATCTTCAGCTGCTAAGACTGTCTTAACGATTTGTTTTTATTTCATCAAATTAACGCTTCTTGTGTAAGATTTGAGAAAACGGACGCAGACTACATTCGGCCAGCGGATTTACGTAGACGAAAAAGACTTCTCAAGACAACTGACTTAATGTTGCTATAGTTCAATTAAAATGTAACATATGAGAAAGATAATTAACAAAAATGTTTTTTATTTTAATCAAGTTGGAAAACGTAGATCATAACTACATAAAAAACAATCAATTTCACCTAAAAAGTAGCTGAAACTGCAGAAAATATAGTAAAAATATTTGAAACGTGTAAAATTCTGTCGTTTAATGCCACTTGGGATTTTTTAAATAAGTAATTGCTCTGGGGGTTTTCGATGCTCGCCTGCAATCTTGGTCCGAGACCACCAACACGCCATGTTTATCGATTGAGCCATCGAAATTTATCTCACTGATTTTTTTAGGCAACAATTTTGACTCTTTTCCGGAAATTAAGAAAACAATCGAATCGACTTAAGATTGTTTTTCGTGGTAGACGTATCATTCCGGCAGAAACAAAATTTTTTCATAATTTTGTGATAATCAGTTTTTCCTAAGTTGTGTAAAACAATTCTTTAACAAAAATGCAACCATGATAATGGAATTTTCGATCTGCACTTTCAAATTTGGTTCGAAACTTGTAACTCGATATGTTTTTCGATTCAGCTCATCGAAATCTATCTCCCAGATTTTTTTGTGGATTTTTACATAAAAACTCAATTTTTCAGATTACTAAAATTTTTTCGTAGTTTCTGGGCACCCAGTTGAAGTATATGTTAAACAACGCTAGGTGAAGAACATGTTTTGAGTTTATGATATTTCTAGAAGCAAAATTTTCGTATACATATATATATAACGCGTTAAATATGTCAAACTTTGCGCTTGTCAGGTACAGAAGACACAAAATTTTACTCTAGATTTTGACTCAGGGGAATATTTGACGATCGCGTTCATCCCAGATAAACCTCCCGGTGGTATACTGTTTGGCGTCTGCATTGATTCGATTGTAAAAATTGCTTTTCGGTGTCTTGAAATTCATATGGTTGAACCATCTCGGTCGAGTGCCCCAACCTGCGGGTTTCGACATTATGCTCTACGAATGAATATATTAACTATTGTGGTTAAAGTCAACATTTGTAATAACGGGCGAATGACGCTTGGATGCACCGGTGTGCGGCATACATTACGTATAGCCGTCCGAAATTATAGTGTACGTCGGAGAGACGCCTAGTTATCGAGTTTATGCGGTTCTATCAGATAGCAGACGCTTACCTATTCCGTTCACCAGCTACAACAAGCAAAGTTTGCTCGAAATTCAGATACTAATTAATTAGTCAAGTTACTTTATCAATTATTATCTACAAAAATTCTAATCCGCACTTGTATAATCCCATCGTCAGCTACGAGTGCAAGCCGCAATTCTTCCACGCTCGTTTCCGAGATTTACCGACTGAGTCCGCATGCATAATGCAACTGGATTGTTAAAAATGCGCAAATGTGGTTCCAGTTACTGGTATGAAGATAAAATTAATTTTTTGCAGAGGAACCTCGAAAGACTGGGTATTTAACGGCGCGTAATACATTCAAACGCGCACAACATGCACTACACCAAATTATTTCATATGCAAATTTATTAATAACGTCGCGGATTCTATTATTTTCCATTTACACACAGACTACACAACAATAGATTAACGGCTTCAGAGCAAGCCTGCGTCGAGTCGCTTAGTCTTAGGGCACGCATATATGTGTGATACTATGAGATACACAATGAATTTCCAAGATACACGAATTGTTCGCCGCTGGGCCATTGCAAAGACACCGTGGGGTCACATTTTGTAATGCGAATAGCGCAGCACGTGCACGAAAAGTGTGTATTACTGGAGATTGCTATTTGTTTACTCTATCTGGAAAATCAGAGCCACATACGGCGAGATTAAATCTCTGCGAGCACAACCGGCATTTTATAACTCCAGGGGACACATCATGTCTAGCAAAAATCACACTTTTAATGCACCGCATTGCTACCAAAGCCAATTTGTAACTGCACTTCGGCTAACCTAAATTTTCAACCTTAAATCCATTAAACTGAAATTTTATTTCTTCTCATTTTCACCACATCCCTCTAGAGTATTGTGGTTTTCCCGTCTGGTTCAGACGGTGCCAGCGGTGTAGCGCAGGGCGCTACTTTAAAACAGTTACTGTTTATTCTATTCTTTAACGATGTTGATGGCTCTACTAATTACGTGTTTCAAGTACGCGAACGGTCTGAAGGAGACTATCAAATTCTAACAACATTATACAAACATATTTTTCAAGTACAGTTGAAATAAAGTTTGACCAAAATGCGTGAATACATCTTTCTGACTTGGTTTTTAAAAAAGACTTCAGTGAAAAAATACGAACAGAATTTTTATTTCTAGCGACGTCGCTTGATAAATATGCATAACTACCGGATTTATTTACATTAACATGTGTACATATTGTTTTGTGTGTTTTTAAAAGTACACACCTATTATGTCACGAAAGTTCTACAACAGTCAGTTGGAATGAATAAATTATTATAATTAAACAGTTTCGATGAAAGTTTTCTTTTTAATTTTTTGTCCGGTAATTGTGTCCGTCATGTAGAGCTAACACGCTTGGACTGACTGTTCAACTTAGAAGTTAAAAAACGACGGACCCGAGGTTTTTATAAACTTCACCATCGCGCTTTTTTCCTATGAATAATAGAAAACCTCGTAACATAAACAGTACGGTATGATTTTTATAAGACCTAAAGCAAGGCGGTGTTTTAAGTTGCTACATCGAGAGCTCCACGCCAAAGGCCCTAAGCATTTTTACATCCAAATTAGTACGGCGGTTAACTTTTTTGAATGAATTATGGCAGGGTAAAGTTTAAATAACTTAACTTGCATATTGTAGTAACTTCAAACAAGTACTTCGGTCACATAGTTGGAAAAAATTGAACAAGATTTTTAATTTCAAAATGTTAGATAAATTCTCGTAAGAAATTAATTAAGAGTGAAAGTTCAGAAAGTCAACGTCGCGGCAATATTTGGCACGAGTTATTATTATTATGATCGTTATTGAAAACTAAACCGGTCAAAACAATGTTCAGCATGATTATTAAATCAATTACTGCTCAGTAAAACGTGTTTTGATTTAGACAGGCTGAAAAAATACATAAATAAATTGTTGTGGTAGCGACGATTACGACTGGACACAAATTAGAACCTCCTGGACCCTCGAGAATCATTGTTATGTCTTCGTCTGTCTGTCTGTCTGTCTGTTTGCCGTCCCAGATTTTTTTTAATGCATTTTGTAAATCTGTTTTAAATCTTGAACTTTTGATTTTTACAAAGAATGATGATATTTTTGTGTTATTAATTTTTTATATAAATGAACAACAGAATTTAACAAACGACGCCAGGATACATTTAGAAATATCAGCTTATCTAACAAATGTTATTTTTTCTGTTGTAGTGCGTATGTCATGTGTGTGATGTATCAGTTTGGTTAGGGTTTTCAAGAAGTGGGCGAAACATGTAAACGTTGTATACAGATGTTTCTGACGACAAATTAAGTAAAATGCACAGTAAAACTAATGTTATGTCATCAGTAGAAGTAGTTTGTTTTGTAGCTCACTCTATTTGTAAGCTTGCTTGTAAAATACGTAACGTAAAGTTTTACAAAAGACTCGCAGATTACAACTTCATTTATAGAACAATGAAACGATTTTACACTTGTTGAGTTTTAGCGAAGAAAAACATGCATGTGTTAATCTCATATTGTGATAGCTGAATCAAGATAGGAGGATCTAGTGAAGCATGTTAAAGCTCTGTAATGGTAATTTAATACCCTTATTCAGTACCTTTATTGAAACAAGTAATGACGACGATTACGGTCCTTTTCAACAAACTATTGAAACGGTAGCGTACATTTACATTGGAACATGAACTATTGGCCTCAAAATGAATAATAAAATACACGGAGAATATATTATGGAGCAGTTCAGGTTGTCACGTTTCGCAAGGTGTGACGTTCGACTTATGTCAGTGCAACATTTTCAGTCGACACAGGTCAAATAGTTGCACCGACAGTAATAACAATAAAATGGCTTCTGCGAGTAAAACGTTTTCGCTGTACAATTTCTATAAATCCAAAATGATTATCGCATTTGCTTCCCGCTGGTGTTTGAATAAATCAGCGCTCGGCTAGTAAATATTTACAGTAGGATGCAAGTGGCACCCTAGATCGTTGTACGCGGCATCATATATTTAGGGAAGTTCGAATTACGATTTGTCGGCTATTTAAATTCAAAGCTTCGGCGATCCAAATTAACTTTCCCCGAACACGGAGTCGTTTAAGATAGCGAACAAAAATACTTACCGAAAGGAATTTTGTTATCCCGCATCTTCGGTAGTGAAAATTCTTCGTTCATTAATATGTGCAGAGTGACGTCGCTCTCTAACAGCAACTGGTGTACGATGGCATAGTCGAGCTGAAAAGCAATTACAAAATAACTCAGTGTTATACCCCTCTGTCTTGTCTCGAGCCAGCGATTTGGATTAAGGCCAGTGTGGTCGGGGCAGATTTAGTGGACTCTTCCACCGAACCACTTCCATTGCATCGACTTGACCTCATGGTTCTGCACGCGACACGTACGCGACCTATTCACAATTTTAAAAATTGGTCGGATGCACTCGCTGCGATATGCAGCAGCCTCTGTCCGATCTCCAAATTGGCTCTTATTATCGATTCGCTTTCTTGTTGTTCTTACCTTCATATTATAGTCTTTGCATTCCGAGCATGGGATCAGGACGAAGTTCTTTGATACGCCGGGCCTAAACAACAATTCCATCGCGAACGTTATGGCTCCGAAAATATCCGAATTTCCGTCACCTAAAACCAAACGACATATCATTTAGAGCCGCTCTCCGAACATAATACAGACTCTACATTTTCCCGAGTTAAATTTAAATCTATTCGGCGTTATAAAATTTTACTTACCGGCCGGGATTGAGTCGAAATAGGGCACTATTTGTTGCCAGTCCGCGAAGACTCGGTTATGGACCACCAGACTTCGAGGTTCGTCATAGACGCCGTTGCCGCCGAACAACACAACCGAGTATCGGTTGTTCTTCAAACGTTGTTCGGTTAGCTCCTTGTGTAGCGCTTCAATAACCGAGTCCATATTTTTTCTCGCTCTTAAATCCTTATTGCAAGCTTTGGCTTCGACGATGAAGACAACATCGGCACTTTGCGGCAGATCGGGAGGATTCAGCTGGATAAACTCACCTTCGTCTAAAAGGGTTCCATTCGGGGCAGAGCATTTCACGCAGACGTCAGGTATCCGAAGAGGCGTGTTGGAATAAGAACATACGCTAATATAAGCCAGCGCCGCCGAACACGCTTCTTTCTCGGTGGTGTAATTAAGACACATCTTCAAGAAGGGATCTTTGGGGACTTTCGCGAAGCACGTAGTCAACGACGACAGTTTACTAAGGAAGAACTCTTTGCACAAGCTTTCTATGCGACGGTTCGGTCTAGTCCCGACATGGTTATTCAAGTTGCTCGTGCAGTTATTAAGAGCCCAGCTGTCAGTAAACAAACGTAAATCGGTCGGTTTAGCTTTTACTTTTTGCGAAGTCAAGAAATCATCGGACGGTTCGTTGTTTATAGTACCCCAGAGACCCGCCGTCTTCCCAAAGTACCATCCTGAGAAAGTATTGTAAGTCAATTTTGTCGAGTGGTAATCTCGCTTGAACTTACCCGCCACCTCGAATACGCAAAGATCGAATTTCATGTTACATTCAAGAGTAAAACCAGTTTGGCTCACTGCCGTGAAGATGTCGTTCTCGAGGTACAGAAATGTGTCGTCAATTTGTGCCGGCAAGCTTATTCCATTATCGCCAACTTTGACAGTCTAAAATCAGAGGGGTCAGTCGGGTTAACTCGGGTAACCGTTTCGTTCACCTACATTTGCGAAAACGTTAACATGGACAACGGTGTTATTGATCAGAAGTAACAGTTCGTGTGTTTTAGCGTTGTTATCGTACGAAACAACGACCGAGAAATTGCGATCGACATAATCTGTCGCTAAAAGATACGAGCAGCTTCCGCGGAAATCGTAATATCTCCTATCGAAAGTCACATAATATCTTGATCCGACCAACAACGCTTGCGCTACAAATGAAAGGTTTTGTATTGGACACGTTTACCCAATTTGATGATGACTGACCTTTAAAGGGCGGTAGCCAACCTGAAAGTTCGGTGTAAGGCTTGTAATCGTAATAAAAGTCCCAGAAAGAGATGCGAGCGCTCGTCAGATATTTCTGGATGGTATAAACAGTCTGAAATTCGGGGATTTCCTGGCGAGAAAAGTTCATTAAAACGAAAACGTGCGGTATAAATCGAATCTTACTTGAAATTTAGGAGTTTCGTTGAAAGCATGCCACGACATGGGCAATTTTTGTTCGAGCAACATGATTCCGTCGGATGGTTCGAAAATAAATTTCGTTTTCGCCACGCGGTACCTGAATTTTACATGAACATTGTAAGCACTTGCTTTATAAAGTAAAATTGTCCTTTTACTTGCCTGTTTTCGGCTTCTAGTGCCGTCTGCGACATATCCATCAGTTTCTGTCGTAAGAGGGCCATGAAGCGTTGCAATCTAACTTCCATGTCGAAATAATCGGACAGCCATTTCGCATTAGCATACAGCTCATCATATTTCATTTCTAAGTATTGGAACGAAGGCAAATTTCGCAGTTCGTTTATTTCGGCGACGATTTCTAGAACCACCTCTTGCAACTCCTTGCCAAAAGGCACCGTATTCAAATACTTTTCTTTCAAAAAGTTCCAAGCTATCTTCGTGTACTTGACGATACTGGCTATTGTGTTATTTCCGGTGATGTCTTTATAGAATTTATCCATATCGTGGGTGAAGTTCGTGAATTTTGCGAAATAAGGAGATTCTATTATTTCGCTCTTCCGGATGTACAAGAAATCCAAAAAATCGCGACCAGTGTTCCACACAATCGATTCCAAATAGTGGACGAGTTTTATAAAGGTCGGCTCGACTGCTGCTAGTGTTTTATACCAGTTGCTGACGATCAAAGCGTATGTTTGAGCCCATAATCGTTCCATGTATTGAATAAAAGCAACGTGTAAATCTTTAATGAAAGCGTCGTATTGTTCCACAATATTTTTAAAAGCGTCAGATAGGTGCTCTATCGGGTCACCGTCCACTAAACCGTGAATGAAATCCACCGTATTTTTGTAGTACGTTTTAATCTGAAGTCAAAATAACGATCAATCAAATTGACAGTGTTCATCAACAGACAACGGCGTTAACGCCATAACAGCTAAAATAAATTAAAATAAAATATTCGTTAATATTTAAAGGGATTACGTTAGAGTCGGCTTCCTCAGGTAATACTTTAATGCGGTTATTAAGTTGAAACGTCTCGACAGTATTTTGTGATGCTTATGAAAACTGCAACAGAGCAGCTTTCATCGTACGAAACATCAAATTAAGGTTAGTAGCGCCGGCTAAGAAAAGAACTCGATATTCCTCAGGATTTGCTTTCAAACTATGTCTTTACCATCTTTTTGCTCGAACACATTTAAATCATCCACTCGTCAGATCACGCGATTACTTTATTATTGCTAGAGTTTTTGCGGTTGTTGAAGTTTCGCCCAAATGAAATTACTTACACTCCTCTGGTGTTGGAGTTGATAAATACAGACCATTTCGACAATGCATTTACTTGTTTAGTTATACGAACTCTGCAGTTACGAAAAGGAAATGAAATAAAGTTGGGGAAAATGTTAAACGCGTTTGCTTATTCGAAAGTGTTTTTATGTCGCTATTTATAGGAACGGCCAAATGGACGGACGCGATTTTTGTTGTTTAATACCGAGCAAAACAATTTCAAAGGAAACTGACTTCATAACGTTTAATAACCGAAATGCTCGCGGTGTTCGCGTCCTCTCGTAAATCTTGGACGCGGAGGACCGCGTTCGCTACAATGAAGAAACACTAAATTCATTTGTGCCGCACAAATAGTCCGGCTTGTCGAGATTAAGGTACGCGAAATAGAATCTTCTCCTTGGAGGTAATGCTAGACGTTTTAGAAATACTAGACATATGTTAATATAGTAGTGTGAGTACGAGTAGTGTTGATATAGTTGGTTTGTTACCTTTTCGATTACCCAGAGTATGCTCGTCTTGATTTTGGACCCCGACGATCCCATGATTTGCCAGACTTCCGACACTATCGCCGGTAGAGATTCGAAGTGAGATTTGAGCGCTAATTCGTCGAACATGAGCATAGAAATATTGACTATGTCTCGAATGTAAAATTCGTTGGCGTAGTAGGAGCGGTTTAAGAACGTTTTAAACTCTTCAAAATCCTGTTCGATCACTCTCAAATGTTTCAAGTCCTGCAAAAACAGATCTATCGAAGGTTTCGCGTCGTCCCATATGCCTCGGAGCGCGTCAGTAGTTTCAGCTCTGACGTATTGTTTGGTATTATTAATTCCCTCCAACACGTCGCTGTATAATTGCTTAACAGCAGATCGTATACCGTTCTGCAATAATCACAAAATAAACAATTACGCGTGCTGTATTACACCTGTGCGTATTACCTGTATATCCTGTTTCAGGTCCGGCCTCCACAGCAAACTCGACATGATAAGTCTGGAATGATTCAAACGTAGATAATACGCAACGTCCGAGACCCTAATGTCCTCGTAATCACGCCAGATATCAAACATGGCGCTTCTAGCGTCGGGAATCACACCGTACACATGAAGGCTCTGACTACCATCTGAAGTGAACAAAGTAAAATTATTCGGAGTGACAGAACGCCGGAGGGAGTGTCTTTTACAAAACTTTACTATTTTTGCGAATTATTCATACCTGTAGTCATGTTAAAGTCGAGTTGAACCAACTTTTCTTCGAAATTGAGGTAAAACTCTCCTGAGGCATTGTTCATCTCGTGGCTTGCTGATATGTTTGCCGTGTAAGTAGGGAACGCTCCCCCGTACCTTGTCCACAGATACGACAATTCCTGGCCCGCTTTTTTCTAAAATCATGAAATATCTTCAACGTGACGCGGCTGTCAAATAACTTGAAGCGTGCATGTATTATTTTTAAAAAATCTCTTAAGCTAATACGTGATGTCAACCAGAAAATATTGTTACGAACCTTTAGTTCTAATTCGTTTCGGGTTAAATCTACACGAGCCAATGCTTCCGCTGTTTGTAAAGGCAGATAGGATCGCTTGTAGTCGGTATAATGACCAGTGCTGTACCCGTAGGGATTCCAGTAAAAACCTCCATGTGTATTTAAATTAAGGTTAGTAGCGTCATGCAGCGCCCAGACTTTGTAAGTATAGTTGTATATAGTGGACGGTCGAGAGCTATCGTCAACCCTGGCTCCGACTACTAGCCTTTGTGAAGGATTTACCGAATAATCAACAGTTAATTGGGTGTCCAATAGTTTTTTGTCGTCGGATTCGTACTCTCCAAAAAAGGTGACGTCCTGAAAGGGTCCGTTAAGTCGGAGCGCTCAGATGGTTTAATATACCTACCTTTTGAAACGAGGGGTGTTTGATTTCGAGTAGAATTTCGTCGCGATGCAAAGCAGCACGTTTCCAATCAAGTCCCGCTTGCAACGTTTTCTTATCCTTGTCCCAAGTAAGAGACACATCGGTAGACATTGACAAGTCACTTATGTTATAGACACCCTTTGCCGTGAAGTTCCTGCGAGGATAGGCAACGTCTATCTGTACTTGCTGAGATTCGAACGCTTCGCTCTATATGAAAGAGATATTTCGATCTTGTGATAGGTTTTGAATGAATGAGTGCTTTATGACATTTATTACCACAGTTCTGTTGAACAGATCGAGATGGTATTCAATCCAAGTAGAAGGACTCAATTCGAGACGCGAGTGCTGCTTGAATTGTTGCTCTAACACGTGATAGCCCGTCCACAACTTAACTGTTCGGTTTGAATGGGTAGCTGAAAATGCTATCTGTCGGCCAGTTGAACTCGTTCGCACGCTCATTTCGCCGGTTATGTTGAATTTTGTCAGATTTTTTAAGTGATAAAGATGTAAATGTTTTGTATCCTGCAAAAATTACCCTTTTATTACTTTTAAACGGGCTCGAATGGGCGCAGTCAGGCACATAGCTGCGAGCACGTCTAGATGGACATTTGCCAAAAACGGCGCGTAAACTACAACGAACTCGACTAGCCGTTTCACCGTCAAAATAGTCATAAAACGAGGAAATCATAATTACACCAAATATACATTTGTTTGTGAGCACTTACCGGGACAGCAATAATTTTTCACTTTTTCGCAATTTTAAAAACACAGTGATGTCGTTTATAACTGTACAAGTGTACATATACTATGATCGACTCTTCCGCGATCGTCGTAGCAACGATCGAAACCATTGTTTCTGACACCGGAAAACGTGAAATTCCGGCATTTTTGTATGGCATTTTTCATCAAAATTTTACACATACACCAAACGACAATAAAATGAAGAATTCAACGCGAACTTCGATGTTGATAAAATATCGATAGAAAGACGCGTCACCTGAACGAACAAAAATTTGCTTAATAACATCGGACCGGTGGTGCGGTCAGTCTCGGTGGTTAAATTAAGGGCTATCTCTGGTTCGTGCAATTTAGCGCGTGAGGATGAACGCACAGACGAAAGTTAGTCTGATGACAAGGTAGTCGCGTGTAGTCATTGAATTTAGTTGTAGAATAGGATAGTTTGAGGGGTCTCCGCTGAACACGTTGTCTGTAACGATAAAGTGTTAGTGGTTACAAGTTAGCAGTTCGGTTTGAATGGGTCGTGCTAAAATTTGTGGCGAAGTTCATCGCCTTTATCGTATTGTTAGATATCGCGATGCCATTCATAGGTGTGGACGTTTCTAGAAGGGGCGATGACGAGGAAAAAGCTATCGACTTAATTTCGTGGAGGGTAACAGTACTATGAAAAACATTTGTCGGTTCTAAAAGTTTAAATTGGTGATAATTCACATCCCGGTGGATTAGGGAGAAATCGCAATCTGCCACAAGCTAGAGCGTGCTTATGAGTTGTGTCCGGCGACCGTTTGTTTTTCTCGGCTGGCTCATGTTTCAAACGGGCGAATGGATAGCCCAGCACGGCTCACATTCATCACTCGGGATATATACCAAAGTTTAAATCAATAGCGGTTCGTGTATGCACTGAGATAGATATATAGCCATATTGAGTGATGGAGATAAAACTATCAAACTCGTCAGCAACGCGAAAAACGTTCATAAATAACTGCAACCGCGGAAACCAGATCAAGTCGCCAGTTTCAATTACGAATCGATTAAGACTACCACTTCAACAACAACTGTTGATTACGACAAGAACAATTTCGCTCGGTAGTTAAGATTTGCGTTTTATCAACACTTCCGATTCGAGCTCCAGATATTTCGGAGGGTTTGAAATACGCGCACAGAACGCGGAATAATGAAACCAATGGCGGTCAGCAAAAGAGATAAAGAAGGCCGCATTGTGGTTTGGAGTACAAAATGGGGTCGGGGGTAAGGACTGTATGGTAGGTAGGGAAACAGCGCCGGGCGGCTATAGATTACGCTGGATTTTATAGGAGTCGCTGATTTATTTGATGCACCCACCACAGTCGGAGCGTTGGAGCCGTCCCTCGGCGCCCCGTATTCGTATCCGTGAACATAGTCTGCCCCGACGGGGACCAACTTGTTCTGCACCTCCACGTGGATCCTATCCTTATCGAAGCCCGCCCGTGACTCCGACTGGCAATTATACTTGCCTTCCAGGACTTTGTTTCCGTTATAGTCGACCGTAGCATGGCCCGTGCTCAGTCGAGGCCTTTCCTGAAACACCATTGAGAATAGAACAGAACAATAACTTTGATAAAAAAAGACAGTTCTAAATTGGAAAATTACAGCTCCCTTGCTCGCACACGGCCTAACTCAACCCAAATCGCTATAACGCGCCACAATCAGTTCAGACTCGGAACTTATCACACTAACTTTTCCTCTTCGTTATACCTAAAACAGACGCGCGCCGCTTCAAAGCCGAAAACGCGATCGCAACGCGACTTTTTGACTTTCTCCTGAGTAACGGGTTATTTATCAACCTCAGGCACGCCTACTCTTTCTCTCTCTCTTTCTCAAACTCTCTACCAATCACTACAGGTTTTCTCCCGTGGCATCACGACATCGTCGTGCTCGATAGAATAAGATTAGTCGATTCTGCTCGAACAGAATTTCGATAACGTACGTCCGATTCGGACCGCGTCCGTCGACTGTTCTCTTTTTAATACTCCAATTCGGTTGATAAGTTTACTCGCAGTTGTTCGACGCAATAATTACAAAAAAGTTTTTCGAGCGGCAAACACAATCGATGGACGGGCTGCTAATACTTTTTGTCGCGCTTTTAGATTTCGAGTCATTGTGATCGCCTTTTCTACAAATGAATGAATGAATGGCCTCTTCGCTTGCAAGTCGGTCGGGATAGTGCAGAAATGGGATGAGAAAAAAGGTTTGCACCAGATGACTATAATTGTATTAGCGGAAGTTAGGGAGGTCTTCTCTCCCTTCAGTGAAACTGTAGTCAGGACTCACCTCGTAGTTAAATTGAATGTTGGCTATGTGCCTAGTCGTCAGCGGCACTTCAATTACCAGTACACCTGTTGTATTACTTTTCAACACCGAACGCTGAGTTTCCCTAACACACTGACAGTCCAAAATTGCGTTATCATTAGGCCAGGATACTTCTAAATGTCGATTATACAAACGTCTGAAACAAAGGCAAAATAGCTATAATTTACCGTTAGTTGTTAGTGTGCAAGGCAACAACGGGCGGCAGCGAAGGAAACGAACTTCGTAGAGAAATACGACTTCCATCTCATCTTGAACATTCTAACCACAAACAACAATTACTTACGCATTAGTTTTTGTGTTAAAACGGGCTCCAACGTAACTAACGTTTCTGAACGGAATCGTCACATTTAACGTTCCGTTCATATTGTCTAGTCCCTTGTAATCGACTCGAGCGAATGCAAATGAGCGATTTTCGGGGTAAAACGCTTCGCACCTGAGAAAATCATCGATTTAGCAGTTTGTAATTACCAGTGTACATCGGATTCGCCCTTACGTGATGTTATGGTATGCATCGGAGCTTCTATAGCTCATTTCTGTAACAAGAGTCTCTTTATCGTCAAACTTGGGAGTCCGGAGTTTGTATACAACGTTCCAAGTATTTTGAGACCTCCACAAGTCCAGGTAATTGTTAATACGTTTGTTATTCCACTCCAATTCTACATTTCCTCCCATGCGTGTCTTATCAGCTAACGAGACCTGAATACCGAAGCTATCTCAATCAAACTTATTATCTTCTCTATCTGAACTTACGTTTCCCCAAGATCCGTACGTCTTCTTTGAATTGGCTGTACTATATTTACCTAAATATTCAACGGTTCTCAAATCCTTATCGTAACGCAACTTGCCTGCCAAACTATAAACTTCTTTAATGGGTGAAGGGGGCTTCACATGAGCTTCCAAATTCATGTTCTGGTAATTCGGCAGAGATAAGGTTACATTAGAACCAGCTCTACAATCAACTCTTGAAATTTAACCAAAATGTTACAAATTAATCAATACGTACGACCACAACGTGTCCACATTTACATCCCCTCCTGCTTTAATAAATTCAAACGACTGATTCGGATTAATGTAAAACCCTTCCACTCGAGACTGACTTTTATATTGTCGATTTTGATAATTTCCCACAGCTTTCACACACATATTTTCCAAAAATAACAAAACCCAGTCAACCTGAATATCTCCCTTGGATTCCGCCACTTCGAAATACGCTCGTCCGTTACGCTGCTGACCGGAAGCCCTAAAAGACCAACACCAATAATCAAAATACCGATAATTCGAACCTCGAAAGGGATTTTCGACGTTTCAAAAGGACTCGACGTTCCGTGATTATTTAAATCGTAGTAAAGCGTTAAAGCGTAAAAAATAAACGCTATCTGAAAATTTGTCGTGCTGCTTTAAAATTATGTACCGCAAATGTTATTGCCCTCTACGTTTCTCTCTCTTACGGTTATGTCAACGTGTGTGACTTCCACATTTAACGAATCGGCCCGGGTTTTGTCCCATGTGGTCACGACGCTATGCTCCGTAGAATAAACGGCGTCGTGTTGCCGTACCTTTGACCGTTTTCGCTTGACGGACCATCGGAGTGAGATGGACATTCGTTGCGTAATTGGGTTCGGATGACATATGTTGGGGAATCCATAAAAATGCAAAACCGAGATATGCAATTATGCAAGGGAATTGTGCTTAATTTAAGAAGATGTATGTGTAATAATTTTGCTTTCGTTATTTTAACGGATCGATCGCCAACGACAGCGGCAGTAGTCGGATCGTCAACATATTGAATTTTTTTTTAATGCAGTAATTTCGCTTTAGAATACCGGTGCGCTGCTAGTGCAGAGCTTAAGAATTTAAATTTGAAGAGACAAGCGAATTCGCTTCCGTTCATCAGTTGCTGCTGATTTGTTATAGCGAGAGACGCTGGTTTTACGATACGTTGTAGTAAATCAGCGGTAATAAATGTCTCTTTTTGCACCTGCTGGTAGGTAACGTACGCCAACACAATTTTAACAATGTCACTGAGTTAAGGCTGAAGTATTGGAGGCATTTAATTCTATCGCCAACGCATAGTTATGCAAATGTTGGCCGGGTTTACAAATCTCCTCGAAAAATGCGTAAAGTAAATAGTTGGCGTTTAGAACGTTTACTACAATGGATTTGTCATTTGCTTGCAGACTTTTCTCGTTGTGTTTGCACATGCGAGAGAGGGGATTAAATGAGATAATATATTAAATTTGTGCGGTCCGGTTTGAGACTAATTTTCCACGATGATTGGGTTAAAAAAGGTTGATAAGTCCGCGTGAAGGGAAAATTCAAGTGAAAATGACGAGGAAAGAAGGCAATACCCGCGAGGGTGGGGGGGAGGGTCTGCATTGAAAACGCTGAGTCATACCGACTATAAACAAGCATCAGCCATTAGAGGCCTTGTTGAAAGTTCCACAGTTTTCGTAGGATCGTCGCGAATATTTAGAGGGAATAATAAATGGAAGATACAGAATCAATTTTATCAAAACCGTGCGTTCCGTGCCACATTTGAATTGATATATTAAAGTTTTAGCGCAAGCGTGAAAAATTCAGCTGATAATAATTATTTTCAATTTCTGAAAGGACAGGAAGAACAAGAGGAAAAAAGTAGATTAAAGACAAGATTAAGCTACGGTGAAGTTTGTTTGCGGTTGTCTACAAATAAACACCTACACTTATTAGAATTAAGGTTCGCTTCGTCGTTGTTAAAAACGGAGCTAAATTAAAATCTTGACCCAGTTTGTGACTCGGGTTGCGATTCCCATGCGTGTTTAGTTCCAGGGGCATGATTTCAGTTTTCAGTTAGTCGCAACTTGAGTCTTGTACTATGTGGTTAATTCTTAAATCACTCCTCGGGGAGGGATAGACAAGTGCATGCGTTCGAAATTGGGGAACGTTATGGAAAGTCGAGGTCCGTTCTCTCGACTCATGCCCCGTTCTTTATCGCGGACGAACGCTTTCTTTCTCCCAGAAGCGTTGGAGATTTTATTTAGCTCATGTGTTTTATGAAGGTAAAGAAAATAGTTTTCGGGACGTTATAGAGAATTAATTAGGGGTTCATAAAAACGACGGGAGCCGGAAAGAGGAGAAAAGGTTTGCAGTTAATATTTTACATGTGCCGTATCTTTATGCGCTTTGTCGTTCGACGCGGAGTGGCGTACGGTAGAAAGCGATGAAAAGTGAGCGTGCTGTAGTTTCCAGGCTCCGGGCGTTGGGGATTGTTTAAATCAATCATCTTTTTACCGTATGCGACAAATTGTGAGGTTATATGTTACGAGTGGATGTTTCGGCTTAGAGCACCCCCCATTTTATCACCACGCACGAGGGTACGAGCGATACTACCGCAAGCCATCATATATTTTACACGATTCTGACGTAAGCTGCAACATTATAAGAAAACATATTTGTGTAGCATCGATTTTTCAATTAAACGCTATCTCAGGAATAAATTCTCGTGAGGTAAAATTATAATAAATTAAGCGGATTTGATAATGTCTTTCAAAGCGGCGAAACAGTCGATTGCATAAAGCAGGCAACTTACACAACAGAAGCCCCTAACTTTGGATTCTCGAGCTTCGGAATGGGAGTTCGAGCTGCTATTGAAATGCTAGTACCAGCTCGGGTCGATGTTGCATTCGCTTGCACCGCGAACTTGTTATACACCTGATGGGATGTGTCTACCTAAAACACAGAAACGTTAAAATGTCATTTTTGTTCAACGACAGACGACGACTCGTACTTGTAAATCTAGCTGCCAGTTTAATTTATGCCTTGTCATAAGATTCGCCTCAAATCTAGTGAATTTGTCTGAATGTTGCGCACTACCAGTCAATATATAACTCCCATCCTCTTTGCCCTCCAATTTGTATTCGAAATTCAGCGGATCGCTACCATCTTGGGGAGTCAACTTGATTTGGGCGTCTACGGGGACTTTTCCTAACATATTCGCATGACCGTTAATTCTAAATTCCTTATTTTTCAAATACAAATTTCCATAAATACTCTTCGATTTCGGCGAACTTTGCGAAACGTGAGCCGACAACGTTATCGGAAACCTTTAAATGCAACATTCTTTAATAACAACGAACCGACCAAATATCGCAGTAATTACTTTTTCCCGTTGAAATTAATATTCGACGTTGCTCGGAAAACGTTCGTCCTGAACGTCGAATTCACTTCGATCTCCAACGGGTGCACTTTTACCAATGACCAACTATCCATTTCTTTCTCGGTTACATGAACCTTTATTCCGGTTTGCGAATTTTCCATTCCTTGATAGGGCGTTTCCAGAGCGGTTATTGCGTAGAAATGGTTTAAGGACTTGTACATCCAGTTCGCTTTAAAACAGACCTAAAACCGGCCGAGTCTAGAAACGGCGACGCGTCCCCCGAGCTCACGTCCGTGACTCGGGCGGACGATTGTCGCGTATTTCGCGACAAACAGAGAAAGGGCGCTTCTCTCGTTAACCTACCTCGTTTTTGAGAACTCTCTCGATTTTAATTCTCGTTTCGATCGAGTGGTCGTCTTGTACCGTCTTCTTCGTAAAAACTATATCCGTCGGCGGGATTTCGAACGTCGGAGTTATGGCCTCGAGCGAAACGGCTGCATTGAATAAGCCATTAAACACCTAAAATTGCGCTCGATTTGGTACAGGGACTTAATGGAGGTTGCAATTACTCCGATGCTCTTAAGGGCTGTCCAGTGTAGTTTCAGTGAGCTCCGATGATGACTAACCGCGAGGGTGTAAGATTCGATCCCGGTATCATGATCGCGATCACGGTTGCGGTGAACCCACATAAGCTATGTAAATATGTGCGCATACATCTAAATAACTTGGGCATATCAAGTTGCGAAATAGACCTAGCGAGTGAATTGTTTCTGTTCGAGAATGGCCAGCGCCAACGCTGCACACGTTTCGAGACTTGTATAGCGAGCTCACGAGAAAGTACACTTCGTAGAGACCTCAGTGCAGTTAGAGAAGTTTAAATTGACGTGTCCAGATTCGAATTGAAAATCATGTCTTTTGTTGAGACTTCACATGTTTACCTCTGCTTTGGTAGTCACTGATATATCGCTGCTATTTGTAGTCACTGATAAATTGGTCCGGTATATGTTAGTCTCTGTCTCGTGAGTGGCCCGGACTAACAGCTGAGGAAGGTTTTCCAGAGGAGTGTATATTTGGAGAGTTGTATTATATCTTTCTTCTTCGGCTTCTCCCACGTTAATGGCGTACGATGCTAAGACACCGGTCTGAAAAATGGCGAATTTAAACGAGTCCAATTGGAAATTCCTTAATCATTACTCTAATCCAACGAGTGCGGTTTTGATAATCCAGACCTAGACCCAAGTCGTATTTATGTCCCGGAATTATCTGGAGATTGTAAGAGGACGTAATGAATTTGAAAGTATCGTACGGTGTTGTTATTCTGAGATCATTTTTCATTGTCATTACGTCCTAAAATGTGAAGGATTAATTACAGGCTAATGGTGTGGCCAAGTATTTACAATAAATTCAAACACGTCGTTGACTGTAGCGTTACCAGCTGGGAGGGATAATGTGGCATCCAGAATGTACACTGGTCCTTCTTGATCAATATCCAGCGTTCCTTCCATGGTCGGATAAATAATGGCATCGATTTTGATGCTACCAGTCCAATTAAGACTATCCTCCTCCTCCTCGTCCTCTTCCTGATCTTCTTCATTTTTGTGTTCTGACCAGCTACGACCTTCTAACATTCTTCCATAAATATCGTGCGTCCTGATTCCCATCTCTTTCAGCAATTTCGGTTTAGGTATGCAGAGAACAGCCACTCCTAACTGAAAATACATAACAGTCGGTGCGAACGAATAGCCATTATCGTTAATTCGTAACGCGCACTTTTCTACTAATAACAATTAATTTAATGACTCCGATTATGATCCGGGACGGAACGCCAGAAGTAAAGGCGGGTGATAAATCGGTATTTGCTTATTAGGTGGTCTGAATAGACAGAGGGTGCGTAAAGATGTGCCAGATCGTAGCGATAGCCGTAATGAGATGTATTACACGTGACTTCGACGGCGGCATTCGGCAGTAAAATAGCGGCTTTGGCAGGCCAAGATCTCGGACTCAGATTGCAGCTTTCACTTTAAACGCGGTCGATCGATAAGCGACACCGGCAAACTTTGCGAATGGATGCTTCTCAAAACAGCACGGATATCCGAGCATTACTCAATCTAGGTGAATTATAAATCCTGTCGCTCTATAGATGAAAGATTGGTATTCCGTAACACATATACAAACCTTATACTGGGATAGCTTGATGGAAACTTCAAAGTCTAAGCCTTCTTTGAATATGAGTTTAGAGACGATACCGTTTTCTTCAAAACCTTCGATGGGAGTGTAAATCTTGTATGAGTATTCGAAGTCTATGACATTTACATAACGCCAAACACCAGTAAATCCTAACATAAACGAGTTCCAACGTGCTCGGAAATCAGCCTAAAAGATCAAATTGAAATTAGTTGCATCGAACGAACATCGACTGCACAAGTCACCTCGTGCGGCTTCAGTTTCCCCACGACGAAAATTTCGCGCAAGAACGAGATCGGGGTACCCAGGCTCAATTTGACGTCGAAATTTGTTATATCTTCCATTTCTAAAAGAATCTCCACTCCTAATGTACCCGAGGGATAGGCGATTTGGGCCACCAAGTGACGTCGTTCTTCGGAAAGACCAAAACGACCCACCATGGTTTTGTATTTTTCGATCGGCGTCGTCACGTTGCACACAAACATGCTATTCGTTAATTTGCGCAGATTACCTATAACGGAAACGTTCGACTATAACGATAACGATAACGGGAAAACAAACGACGTTCACCTTCGAAACTCGCCGTGAACTTTTTATGGTCTAAGTCGAGAGTGGCGACGCCTCTCAGATGCTTAGTTTTTGTGTAATACATTTTACTGATGAGATGACTCCTGCGACAGGCGTCGAACGGGGTGGTTGCAGTTACCGCACCCATTAGAAGATTCGTGTAGTTGTGGTTCTTTTCTACTTTCCAGTTACTTTGGATATCGATCACGTGTTCTGGAGAATACTGAAAATATAGCGAGTGTGTACGCGAGTGACGACGAAAAGTCAAAACGGGGTTACCATTAGTCTAAGGGTGGTGTCCAGTTTGGAGGTATCTTGGTTGTGACTGACGTAGGCGCTGAGAGTCGGTATGTGTTTAAGAGTGCTTGTTAGGGAAGTTTTCAGTTTGCATTCAAACGCCGCGTCACTTATTGAATAATCCTCAAATAAATCTAAAGTGACGTTCTCGTCGTGTTTCCAATATATACTGCCGTTAATGCGATACATGTTGCGGTTGTGGTGATAGCTAAAATGTTGATGTTTTTAGTAGCGGGTAGTGGTGAAGCTAAAAGTTATTACCCTCCATTAATCGTGGTTTTTTGCCATCCGTCAAAAGGGGTAACGATCTGAGAATTAATCACGATATATGTTTGGCGGTCCGTATTGTAATCAACCTGAAGTTTAACTGCAAATGACTGTTGATCGGCCCAGGATAATCGAACGAGGGTGTTGAAATGGCCACCTAATAATAGAATAAATAGAAGAGAAACGGAAGGTGAATTAGAGTGTTTTCTCACTTTCGAGGAGGAAATCAAAATTAGCAAGGATAGTCCTCCCGGGATAAGATATAAGAAGATTTCCTTTATAATTGAAAGACGCAAGCTTAGTGAAGTTACCGGAAACCACAAGTTTTTGGTTGTTGTCGCGGTTAGCGTCCCACTTCAATTCGAGCCCAGCAGCTTTGTACGTTTCCTTATTATGTTCCCAAACTGCAAAATGTATGTCTCGGAGCCTGGTGAGTATAAAGGTGGTATTGATTATAAAGCGTGTTATGGGTGAATTAATGCAAACTTACTGGTCAATGTGGAATTCAAGAGAAACTCGCCGATGATCCCCAAAGTAAACAGAGCTCAGCATTGAGTAGCGCTGGGCTTTGTATTTCAGTTCGACCTGGGTTGTAGTTTCTTGAGGTGAGACAACGGTATGTTTGAGGTAGAGACAGTAATTATTTGTGTCATGATCTGCCTGGAACATGTCCCAAATAATCTCCGTTAAGTACAGAAACACTTGCTTTGTCTTTGTTAGAACGTGACTTTTTAGACAGTTAAATAATGAGAAAACGTCAGGCGTAATTAATATGTGCAGGTGACAGTCAGTCGATCGTTTAAGTAACTCTCTTACCTTAAAATCGATCTCAAGTTTGTCGTTGTCGCGGTTGAATTGCAGGTTTAAGGTTATATCTTTAAAAGCGGGAGATCGGAGGATCAGTTTCAATTGACGATTGGACGAATTGGGCGTAGTTTTAACTTGGTAGATGCCACTGGCCGAGGCGTTGTGGCCGCTGAACCACGTTCCTCGTACATCCACCTAAAAGCGAAATTATCAAAAACGATAATGCGTAATGTGCCAGTCCATTAGCAAAGGCGGCGTTTTAAATCGTATCATATCCTAACTAGCAACCAACTCGAACAAACGATCTATTACTTGCTCCCTTGGGACGTTCTACTTTACTTATATCAGAAACTTTCGCACTGAAGTCTTCTTTTCGAGACACAAAAATAATTAATGTGAAAACTTACAATATACTGGGAAGCGACTTTTTCCTGCAACTTTCCCTCCAAGATCATCGGAGTAAATGATGGAACCGTTATATTAATTCGCCCTTCCATATGCTCCAACTGCGTTCGGGGATGCGACCAAAACACGGCCACCGAAACCTCCTTATCGTTCCCATATTTAATGACCATGAGAACGTCGACGTTCGGATTCTTTACTTCGACGGTGAACTCTCCTTTCAAGTTTAAACCGGTTGATTGTTTGCTAACGGACAAAATCGTGTTGAAAGTTCGAGTGCTGTCAAGTAATGATTTATAAGAAAACAACCACTCCAACTTCAATTTATGTAACTCGGCCTCCGGATGGTTTTTCTCTAATGGGCACGAAGTCAAGTCAAATTTCGACTCGACGTGACCGCCGCCTTTCTAAAAATGAAACACTCGATTCGGTTCGAGACGCATAACGAACGAACATACCTGAAGTTTAAAGTTTGCGTCGAAATTAAAGTTCGGATAAGACGTGCTAAAGAGGCTGCAAGTCCCTCTAATATCGACTAGGTTTTTCGGGGATCGATCAGCCAACGAGAAAGCAAACATAACTCGCTGTTCTTTTGTCTTAGCGAATTTGTAATCTAACTTCAAATTTGCAGCCACCGACGCTTCCGTTTTTGATATATAACCAAACAGCTTCGAGGACAAACGCTTGGTTTGAAATTTCAGGTCTACGTCGTATTGCGACGTTCCCCTCTTACTAACCAACTTTAATGTTCCTGAAATTAATCGAGTTAAAAACTTGAACATATCGAGTGTCTCGCGCAAAATGCACACCCTTTATTCGATTTTATTTATCGAGTAGTTTAATCGAATCAAAGCGGCGGACATTTTTTGTCGACGAAACTTCCAACTTTTCGGGCTGAGATAATGATGAATCGGTCCTGTTGTTGCATAAATAACGACCACGTTGTAAATCGTGAACGGTATTAAAAGTTCATAATCGCAAAAAGTGGAAGCAAGCAGATATTTGCTTAGAATTAGCGCGACTCGAGAATTATTTACAGACAAAATGAGGCACGATGTTTAAACAACGTTATAAATGTTTGTGCAGCTAAGATTTAATAAAGCGGCGACTGCTCTAAGTTTTATGGTGTTTAAAAGAAAAAAAAATGGAAGAAAAAAAGAATTAATATCTGACCTTGCAGTTCGAGCACCCTTTCGCCGTTGATGCCCAAATATATTTTAGGGCGGTAGATAAATCCGTGCCTGCTGTCTCGCCGAATCAGGGAGAGTTCCAAGTCAAAATGCTTTTTGTCGTTGATGGTGAGGACCAATTGGAGATACTTTTCGCTGTCTGTGTTTTTATATTTGCCTCTCGCCAGCACGGTTCCAGCCGTAGATTGCAGGAAGAGAGTAAGATTTTGGCTTTGCCTGTCGACTGTGAAATTAGCGGAGAAAAGTCGGCCCACGGAAGAGCCCGGAGTATCGAAGGTCAGGGAAACAACGCTTAAATCTTTTTTGTCGGTCCATTTGTATTCAAATAAATAAATTTTAGCGGTCGGATCAGATTTTTCAAGAAACAATCTAAATCCAGAAGGACCCGCTAAAACAAAGTAGGGTGCTTTATTTATTTTAGTCACGTTTATAAAATGATATTCTCCGCAGAGCTTAAGACCGACAGTCTTGTCTACAGCTGGCCATGAACAGATCGATTTCGAAACGCGATGCTTCGAAAGACCACTCTGCAATTGTTCGACATTACGTTTCATCACTATAAGTTCGTATCTGCAAAATTTTATTTAGTGGGGTTTTTCGGAGGTAGGACGATTTCGCTTACTTGGCTCCAAATATTTCGGAAGTTTGACGTGGGATGCTGAATTTAACGTTGACAAGTTTAAAACCCCGTATTTTTATATCGCCCTCGATTGCGCTCGAAGTGTACATGCTTGATTTCAGTTTAATGCCGGTAGTGGCGTAAAAGGCGTCTACCGACATAACACCTGTTAAATCGAGAGATATACTCGGCCTAATATCGACTTTGAGGTCTAACTCTTTGGTTTCGATAAAATTGGGAGCATGCAAAGAACCAAATAATTTCAGGTTTATCGAGGCCGTCCCTAGGGCGTTCAGGGATATGGGCAATCCGGCCCCACTAGGCACAACGTAGTTACTATCCAGAAACATTGCCGCTTTGTTGTAATTGATTTCCTGTAATGAAAGTAATTAAATGAGCTGTCGTGGCCGGGTTGCTTGAACCGAACCGCTAAATACTTACTTTCCCAGAGAGAATTCGCTTTAAGTGATCTACAGGGTTGAGGGTTCGCAGGGCCGCCTTTATCTCCTCGTCTCCGTCGAACGTGGCGTACTTCAACTCGTTGCCGAAAACTTTAAGGCCTAAAGACACCTGTTGTAACAATAATCATTAAAGAGTATACGGCACAGATGCCGACCGAGGCACATACCTTCGGTTCGCCCGACGAGTTTTCCATAACGTTCGGTAATCTATCGATCTCGGATTTCAAGACTTCATTTTCCGACGCACTTCTACTGAAACGTACTTTTGAGATCTTCTCTTTCAGTTTCTCAGAGTTTAATGGTCCTTTAGGTCCGAACATTGACTCCAAATAATGCTCGAAACCCTCAAGTCGTCCGTACACCTGGAGCAAATTGAAAAATCACCCGGATCGACCCCAATTATAGCACAAACCTCCATTAAATTTATCGACTGCCCGAAAAGATCCACCGTCAAATTCAGCATCGCCGTTTTGGGGACATAAGAAGACGGGGAGAAAATTACATTACCATCGTAATTAGCTCCAACATTATACTCCTCGAAAAATACGGAACCTTCACGATGATGCGAGAATTTCCTCACATCACTACTGAATTTCTTAACCAAATTTAGATCGGAAAGTAGACCCTGTATTTCCACTCTGCTGGGAATGGAGGATTTCATCAAATTATTTAAATGACTCCAAACAAACGAACCGACTGTAAGAAATATACATTATTTAAACAGAATTAGCCGAATAATCTTCCACATCACCTTGGTTCACGTCTTCGTTTTCCAAACTATGCTTAACCGTGCGTATCATCAAATAATTAGGACACCGCATTATTTGGAGATACGAGGCGATACGCACTTCAACGTTTTCGTCTTGATTCCTAAATAAACTTTCAAAGTAGTCGCGGGATTCCGTACACGGTAAACGACGATAAGCTTCCACGGCAGCCACGCGAATTGCTGCATCAATTTGACTATCCTCGATAATACTGACTAAATAACGTTTGATGCTATCTGTCACCACTCCTATATTCCCTAAAGACTTTAGCGCCACTATAATCTACAAAATAACCAAATTTATCCCCGTCCCACAACTTTTTCATACTTTTACATACTTTGTCCTGCGACTCTCTATTGAATGGTTTCCATCGGTAAACACTCACAATCAGATTTTCTATATGGTTTAAAATCGTCCCTACCGATTCGTTCTGTATGCAGTCCGAATGCGCCGAACAATACGTGTGTGTTAACGCCGTAACGCTGAAGGCTACGTTTACGTCGAACGGTTTTTTTTGAAGTAGTTCAGCCACGGCTCTCATCATGTTTTCGTCGGGCCTCGAAATGAACGCTATCGACATCATCCACTCTTTAGCTATATTTTCCGGAACTCCTCCTTTCGACATTATGTCTGTCATGAGACCGACGGAGCCGGCAGTGTTGACGTACGGCAACGCATCCAGCATATGTTTCCTACGAACAACAAAAAAACCTTGAGTAACTTTTTGCTTCGACAAAATGACTGACGTTTTCGTTTACTAAAGCCCCGCACACGCTTGACCGAAATGACGTGTTTGTGTTCGCGCAACGTTCGCAGTCAGGTGTGTACGCGGCTTAAACCAAGTCGCAAGGGAAAACGTCTTTGTCCTTTCAGTTCTGTCGGGTCTCTGAGGAACGAATGCGACTTGTTGTGGTAGTTGTGCAAACGAAACGGATTTAGCTTCATAATTAGGAGAAGAACAAACATACTTTCCCGTAGGGCAGGTCGTGCTGGCGTGTCTGTACAGAATCGAGAGTGAAGGATAGGAAAGAAGCCGCAAGGTTTGAATAAATTTAGTGAATAAATCCGAGAACTCTATTTGAACGTCATCTGTACTCTGCTTGCACATTTTCTTGATCAAATCTCTGGATGCTCTTAGCTCTCCGTGTGTACGTTTAGGGGAAGGGACGTGGTCGAAAAGCAAGGAAGTCCTTCTCGATATCTCCAATTGTTCTCCCAGTGTTTCGACATTTTCACCCTGTAGAATCAATCTCTGCACTACAATGGTGGTGGCACCTGCGTCCTGATTAGAAAATGGCTGTAAAACGTGAGTCTCCTCGCATGTGATTTCGTTGTAGATGTTGTGATCGATCGACATTTCGCATCTACTCGACGACTTCAGCAAATTCTTCCCTTCCTGCAATTCCTGAAACAATCACCGTATAACTCTCGTCATCACGCAGCAGGAATGGACGCATTATACCGCAAATTCCATCTCAAAAACCGACACTTGACTAGCTCGCTTCGAACAAGAATCAAATATATTTTTGTTTAGGCAGACCACGGATACGCTTTCGAAGCGAATAAAACAAAAGTGGCAGCTGCTCCAATCGAGGGTAACGTTTTCTCAAGATAGTTTATTTAAATAAAGTTAATTCGAATGAAAAGTAGGGGCAAGGTGCGCGTCGAGAGTTAATATCTTTTATCTAAAGGTGGATCATCCGGAACTTACCGGTCGGAAGTTGTAGGGGACGGATTGCACCATGGAGTTAAGTTTGGCTCGATTCTCGCAGGCATTTAGATCTTTGGTTTTATGCAAAATGAGACTGGTTTCCTTGGCTCCTTGAACGTAATACAGCGTCGGGCATTGTCCTCTAACGTCCTCTTCAGTGGTGGAGTGGTCCAGATCGAACCTCTTCATCGTATTATGGAGCAGAGATAAGATGCCCCTCTTGAAATTTAAAACCCAATTTTTTTCTTCTTCGTTTGGACATATCTCCGAGATAATCCCATCATTAAATGCAAATCTTAGAGAGAATTCGCTTATCATATCAGAAAATTCTTGACTATTAGCGTGCGGTAAAGTTTCCTGACCGTCCTCAGAAGGGTTTTCACTTAATTTAAGATCCGATAGGGTCAAGAGTCCGTCGCAAGGTGTTAGGAAATTCAGAGTCACCGTCCCTTCTACATGCAAGCTTGACTCATTCTTGCTCGTGCCGTTAAAGAACGACCTTACGTTTACTGAATACTTGTAATTTTGTTGAGTGCCCGGACCGTATTTGAATTTTCCGGTACCTGAAACAGTTCGCCATCATTTACGGTCCACATTATAGGTATATTTGTATTCAAAACCACGATACATTTATTTCGTCCATTCAAGAAATTTGACGGAATTTTATTAAGGCAATTATCAAATTAACGTAGTTAAGACGCGCTTGCAATAAACAAAGCACCGGAAAGCTCAATTGTTCTCGACTTGATGTAACCATATAATAAGCTACAAACTAATGAAGTACCTATTCTCCGCACACAATTGTTGTAATTGATGAACGACAGACCGAAAATTCTAAAATACGCAGGTGGCATTAAACAGGCTAACTCTTTGTGTCCACTTTCGTAGAACAAAAGATTCTATTACAATGGAACGCACTAATCCGAACTCGTCACTCCCACGAGACGCCACTGTTGAAAACAAAAAATGGTTTCTGTGTGACGACACACTACAAAAATAATCGCAACAATTTCGTTAATACCATCAGCGAAATTTTGATAAGTCGCTTAAGTAATTACATCTTTTCGAAATTTTTGTTTCATAGCCCACCCAGATGGTGGAACCGCCTTTAACAAATTATGTCCACCCATTCGGAAATTATGAGTCCTTAAAGCAAACTTATTTGCTCTGCCCGAATCAATTAACCTTTTAACAATTTTGAATGGGAATTACTGTCGGAAAACTGCAGACTTCGTTTCATCTTCACAAAAATACACGTTCATTAAGACATACAAACTTTTAACAAGAAATATGCTTTTAATTTACACTCGATATAACATCTCAGACGAATACCGCTACGACTACATTTTTCTGTCGTTATTAAATAACATCGAGTATCTTTGAAGTATCTGCAGGTATACACTTTATACTCTCAAGGAAGTAATTGAATTAACAAATGGATTTGTGCACTTTGACAACCGTAAATTGAGTTGGACTTACGTTAGGAACAGTTTGAATAATACTCGATTCGGTTATGCCCGAGTCGCAAGCTTTACAGGATTTTATTAATACCCAAACCAAAATTGGGGCTCTTAGTTTACTTTTAAAGTGGGAGCTAATTTAATTCATTATGATTTATTTAAGCGTGACATTTGTTTTTCAAAATTTTCCCAACGAAAGTGTTTATTCAATAAATTGACAATGTTAAAATATTTATACAACTCGGAGCCTTTATTATTCGACCTGAATTATTGGTTGCCTATCTATAACGCAACAAACACTTAAAAGTTAGGTTAAGGTACTAAAACATTAGTTATCTCTCTCTAACGTCGAGGAATCTAAAATTCATTTTAATCGTTGATATTGTTACCATTTGTTGTCTTAAAGGCATGTTTTTCTGTTTACCAAGAAATTAAGTTTGTATCTTGTAAACAATAAATAGTATTTCTTCGTGATAATAATTATCCAAGATTGCTGCAGTAGAGGAAGTTCTGCGGAGCATCAAGTGCACAAAGACTTCGCTGAATATTTTCTTTTTTTTATTATTTATCTTATTTTCTGAATGAAGTTGTTTTAAGTTACGCTTTGTAACAATGACACCATTTCTACTATCTAGTTACAAAAAGTTAACAACTTTTGCTCTGGCATGCGTTTTGCTTTATTAGGGAAGTTATAATTGGCGGGTTAAAGTAGACGGTTCAAGCTTTTTTCAATCGATGAGATGAATATTTAAAAGAATTCTCGAGCGTTATTAAAAATTGATAATTTCTCACGGGTTAATTCGAATAAAAATTTAATAAAATAGCTCGATCGTTGATGGGCAGAGCCGTGTAAAATAGTATCTATATTGCAAAAGAGGCACGTTTGGAATGTATTGAATCTGGAATTGTAGAAAGCAAAATAGATAATAACTGAAATTTTAAGGGGTGAAAGGAAATAAAAGTGAGCTTTTAGAGATAACGTGAATGTAGCTGTATGAATAGATTGCGAAAATATGTTAGAAGAAATTCGTGGGATATTGGAGGATATCAACAATAAGCAGATTTCTCTCACCTGCTTTCACATTAATAATACCTATCAAAACTTTCTGTAGGGGATGAACTTATTACTTTTCGGGATCATGTTCCATTTTTACTAACAACATAAAAATAAATTGAGACGAATAAAATGCCGTATTCCGCGAACGTTATTTTTGATAATCTGACGTTACTCTTTTATTAAGGAAGCGAAACTAGGTTTTTACTGAACCGTTTTATCAAAGAGGATCGCTCTCGATACGACCCATTGCAATCTTATTAAGAAAATGCTAATAATTAAAACACATTATACGACTTTTTCTTAAAAAAAAAGACTTCCCCAATGTAATTTTCGTCCTTTTATTATGTGACGTGACATGATATACAGGCATTTGACGGGAAATGTTTTGTTACCTAATTTTTACGCTTACAACTCAGACCAACAGTCACGTAAAACTTTTTATACGAGACAGTTTTGTTCATTTTGTAAAAGTTGAATAACATGCATAACTGGTTATTGCATCAAATTTCTCCAAGAGGGATAAAAAGTTAAAAAACACACAAGCGTCATATCACCTTATATATCATTACACGCACATTCATTTTTATTATTGTAAATTTTGACGCCAAACTAAATCTATGTACATGAAATACACAAATAAATCAAATTTACAACAATGGCCGGACATTCTCGTTACGGACTGGAAAGGTAAACATTATTAACACAAACAGAAAACTGGACTTATAACATTTATATTTGTAAATGATGAAACTTTCATAATTGAGGATTTTTAAACTGCGGCTTACTCAAATTCCTTTTTTTTTTTCAGTCGGTCGATAACTTTAAGCGGGGTACGTTAAAGCGATTGTAGTTTTAAATAAGGTTCGAGACGAGTTCGGATGGACAATTCTTGTTGTGGACAAGTGACGTTATTATGGATGTGGTCTGAAACCTGAATCATTCAGCAGATTAGGTCGCGCGTTGCCAGCGTGAAATAGAGAATTTTCAGTTTTAATTGGCTCGACTAAAAGTGCTTTCCTTAAGCCCGCAATTTATTTCAAGAACAGAACCAACTCGAATTTAGCTTTGCGGTTTATGTGTAAGGTATTAACTATTGTAGGAGGCTAAATTATTAATAACATTACCCATAATAATAGACTTACCTTTACAAATCGGTCTTCCGCAAACATTTGGGTCTTTCAAGGGATCTGAAAGAGGAAAGGGGAATAGTTAGTTCGGGGATTAATATTTACTACATACTTAACTTAATTATTACAGAGAAACAAGCCAAACGTAAACATTCAATTTAGTATCCATACATCAAAGTTTGAAACTCTATTCAAGAAACATTTTTGTTTCAACAAGAACCCACTACCTTGTTTATAATTTAACGAGGGCTTTATTAAATTTCAAGTCCACGTCTTTACGTTGTTGAACATTTAAAGAAAACTTTTACACACCAATTAAATAATGAAATCTAATGAATTTAATTATGCGACAATTAGCGTTCTCTTTCCTAAAGCTTTGACGTTAACCAACAAGTTGACTCAACTTTTCATAAATTTTAAATTAGAGCGTACACCTTTCTTTATTCAGTGGTAACGCAATTACTGTTGTCCATTCTTTAATTACACTGTTCAAGCAAATTTTTCTATTTTAACGAGCAAAAAGTCACCCCTGGGAAATAAAGCTCATATCTAAATCAGAATATTACGGTAGGACGAAATATTTTACACTCAGCTAGTGCGCTTCATTTTTAATTTTATCTCTCTAATTAACAAACTAAAGGGCGCGACCATATTTCACTTTCATATCAATCGTGTATCTCTTTCAAACGAGGAATAATTAGCTTTATGGAGCTTAATTCCTGCAAAAAATACAGATACGTCGCTCTAAACTCACAATTTTGTTATTGTTTCTTGTTTGTTGTTTTATGCTTTAAGCTTCATTTGAGGATTTCCAACCAAAATATTTTCTTTCGACTCGCCCCAAACGAGCATCATCTGATTTGCTGCAACATAATCCGGAGATTAGTCGCAATTAGATATATTTTTAGTAATTTTGGCTGTCATTGTGACTAATTTCGTTTTTAGTTAAACAAAAACCTGTGCAGTTTTTAAATTTAAATCTGCGCGGAGTGTAATTCTACGTTCGTTCGAATTTAGAACGGGAATAAATAGCTCGGTAACCAACAGAGATATTTAGGAGTGAATTGAATATTCCAGTTAGTTGATAATCAACGACTTCGAATTTGCCATTTAACACGAATAGATTAGTTAACAGCTCTATAAATACAAGGATATGTTATAAAATTTTCAGAGAACAGACGTTTCTCAACAGTTTCTGGTTTCTGTTTCTAGTTCCGCTTTTTTTTTTTGTTTTTTTTTTGTCTAATCAATAAAGTATTATTTTTACTCAGTGCATGACGCGCTGAAACTTTGCAGTCATTAGGAACGTGCCTATTAAATATATCATGCTCCCGTGACTGTTCCGTGATCAAATCTTATTTTTTTTGTTAAGAAATATACTGCGACAATGAAATATTTTTCTATAAAAAAATAGTGTTAGTTATTTAGTTCTGACATAGTTAAGTTGCGAGGAAAATTTACAGTTTGAAATAATTTAAAAGTCAACGACTCTTATCAATATAATGAACTTTTGGCATTGTTTATTAATCCGGGTCAAAATTTCTACCGCTTACTCAGCTAATATAGTTAAACTTTTTAATATTATCAATTTAACTGGTTGGAGCTGTTACGAAAGTAATTAAGTTAAAAATAATGAATTTTTTGTATAATAAAAGTTGCGTTTAATAGATACAGTGCTTTTATCTCGTGTTAACATGAACATATCGTAGCGTTATCATTACTGGAAAAAAAAAACAAATCGCCTCAAACTGCTGAGTCGTATAACATGAATGATGAGCTTGTTGAACGATCCCTTGGAGTAAATCTTTATTTGGAACACAAAAACGTATTTAGCTGCAGGTTGTGCTATTACGGGTAAAGTGGATATTTTATTGTGGCAGATTTCTGTTGATAAGAAAGGTGTCGCACGTGTTCTAAAAAAATGTAAATTCTAGAGCATAATTCGCTTTTTCGTGTCGCTTGAAGTTTGTTGTTTTGTTATAGAATTTCCCCCTTAAATCGGTATGTTTATATGCAGATATAAATGTCTTAACACAAGTTCTTGCTAATTAGCAAAGAGGATAGAAGGCAAAAGTCAACTGCGTCTAGTTGTTCGCAACAAACGCGATGAAGTTATAAGAAGCCTAATGTTCCAGGTGAATATCAAGTTTTACATTAGGTGGAAGTTCTGAAGAGAGATTAGTTTGATGTAAATAATATTGAGGGTAGAGCGAAGTCTGTCAGATAAGTTGAAAAAGGATCGTTTCAGCTAGTGTTTGCATGTAGCTATTACAGGTATTTATAAAACTCAGAAAAAGCAATCTTACAAAAGCGCGGAACATTTTCCTGGAGTCTGTTCTTTTATGGACATTTTTACTGGAATTAAATTTGTGTTTAGTGTTGAGGTAGCGACAGCGAGATGTTTCATTTTATTGTTTATTAGTTTAGTCAAGGCATCTGAGTTTTATACGTTCCTTCGAATAATACAAATGAATATCCGGGTTATACTTACTGTGCTGAGCAAACGACGTTGTCGCTAGAAGAAACGCTAACGTCAGCCGAAAGAAGAGCTTCATTCTGGAACAACTGGCATGAGGAACACAAAACTGCACGAAACACTGCGATCATACACAATCTCCTACGATACTCCGTCGACTAATGACTTACTAATCTCATCTTCTCTATTTCAAAGGTCACAAAGGCACCAAAATCTACAATTGATAATAAGTTCAGAGGGCGAAGGTTACAACTCGCTACATTCAACGCAAACTTGTTATTCCACTCAAAATCCTGGAAGTATTACAAAATTGCAGGTCTCGACCGCTGCAATACCCATCAATAATATCCCGCAAAAAGAACATTCACAAATTTATGTATTCCGATGAGATAAACGAAGAATTCACGGTGGACAAAACAGATAACTCTATTTATCTAAACGTTCGTAAATCACCCTAATGGCCTACTCTATTAGAAATTCATTCCTAATGTAACCCTAAACGCGCCGTGGACACTGCCCTCTTCCAAAATTACTAATCGACGTATGATCTATCGGAGCCATCGCCGACCAAACAATATCCACATTATTTAACCATTACAACGACCACTCGGCTCGCGAAATATCATCATTATTATTACTATTATTATTATTATTATTGTGACGCTTCATCTCGGTTTTTATATTTTGACGGCTGCAATTTTGGCGAAAGTAGTCAGAATCGTAGCAAATGCTCGTTCCACCACTTCCCGTACATTTTCTAACGTTTCAAATGCCTCGCGAGCACCGAAACGCGGAGTAAAACGCTCAAATTCGAGCTAGAAATCAATTTTCTCGTCAAATTTCGGAAGCCGAGCTTTTTCTTAAAGCATGCAATCAAAATAAATCCAGCTTAAGTGACGACCGGTTTATAAATATGTATCGTGTTTTTGGTTTTTCAGGCACATTTTTGTTTTGTTTTTGCTTTCCGCTGCAGCCATTAACATTTCTCTGTTACGGTTCTTCCCGTTGCTAATTCAATTACCTTAAATTGCTAAATGAATATTTAATCCGTTCTCATGACCTGAGTTTTATCGAATTTCCTGTAGTTCGGATGAAACTACTGATGTTTTTAATTCGCCGAAATTCCACTGTTTCATTTCCCCGAAAGTAGGACGTCTTTATTGTTCGATAAATTCAGATCTGATTACTTGTTACCAGCGAAACTCCTTTTGTTGGTTTTAGCTTTTGGCCAATCTACTTATCAAAAAATCGTTAAATCTGATGACCTTGGCGGCAGTTTAAAATATATATATTGCTGTAAGATATGTTTCTTGTGTTTTTGTAGTTCTGTATTCATGCAACATGCTAATTAGTAGTTTCAGCTGACTTTTTGTATTTGCCCCACTCAAGGATCAATTTTTATCGCTCTCTGACGGAAACAATCGTCAAAAATATAACAACCTCTGAGTTATCAAACCGATACCAAAGTTTCGTAGTTGCTTAAACGCGAAAGTCATTGCTGTACTACAGTTTTTTATTTTACTTTTAGTTTTTTTGTTTAAGCCGTCACAATACTCCCCACTAAAATGTAAATGTTTCTCTACTTCTCGTCACTAAATATAATAAATTTTTATAAAAATAAAGGTTGTAAAAAGTGTGTCGTAAACTATGGTCATTTTAAATTCAACATAACTCAAATTACTTTGATATTGATCGTAAAATGCGACACATGTTCAACAACGCGTAGCCAATTTCAAACGTGAAACTTTTAAAAACCCATTACAACAACTTGCGTGTAGTTCTTCATAATACTACAAATGCATAAAGCCTGATAGTTCTGCTCTGACAAAAATGGGCACCTATATATTAAAATTTTGTCAAAACTCGCGGAACATTGAATGCCCAAAAATGGATTCTTTACCTCTAATTAATTTCAAGTTTGGATCATCAGAGTGATGATCAGATGGTGATACAGAGTAATGATTTTAGAGTTTTCTATATGATATGTAGTTTAATTAGCGTATCAATTCTGCCTGTGCAAACATAACTTTGTAATTGCCTGTATTCGTCAACAAGATCAAAGGCTGAACCAAACCAACGTATCCAGAAAAACAGCGCCTACACGTTTTTAATCATTTCAGCTGTACACTTCGCGGTAATAGTACCTTTTTGTTGCTCTTGACACTCAAAAGAATCCGTAATTACTAAACGAACAAATAACTTTTTTGACGACAAAGGGCTGTTTACCACCAATGTACCAATAGATTTCAGCAAATGTAACCGACAAAACATTTAGTCCACGTGATGTGTTATTCACGACAAAAATCAATGCATCCCTTAGTTTCCACAGGATTTTCTAATTACTACTTCTAGGTTTTCGTTTTATGAATGTGTTTTAATTGAAAATGACGGACACAAGATACGCGTCCTATTTTTTGATGTAACAAGATATGATAATGTTAATCTTAATTGTGACCTAACGTGAAATATTATCGAACAAGAGTTTTTGTTACATAATTCCATCTAAGATACCATTATATCCATTAAGGAAATATATTCTGTTACGATAAAAAAGCAGTCTTCGTCGCGTCATAACTGTCGCGCGTTTTTTTTGTTTGAACGTGACGTGTAATGAAGTTGTTAATTTGTTGTAATTTTATGAACGACGCAAATGCTGGCGAAATTTACTGAGGCTGCTCTTTTGCGGTGTCATTTTCACGCCAGGTGGAAGAGAATGAAAGTGACAAATCTGAGCGGAGGAGAAATTTTCAATCCTTCCCTGTTGTTCGGTTTAACTATCATCTAACTATTTGTATCATTGATAATTTTGGATAACCATTAGTTTTTTCGCGTTTTTCAATGAACGATATCAGTAAATCAAACAATGGTTCAAAGTTAGTTATTGGTATAAATTATAGTTATATAGTTCGTCTTAACTATTTTTAATAGTGAATGCTCGGTTCACTCTGAAAACTAACTATTTTCACTAATTCAGTTTTATAGTTACAGTTATTAAATTTAAGTTATTTTGGTGAAAAACAGGTAAGCGATATTTTAGAAAAAATGGAAAGACTGTTAATACCAGCGCTTTCATTGGACAGTTGGATTCTTTATTAATTCTTTATTTCTTCAGATCTCGGCATTTTTTAAAAATGGCCTTCGCTTGTTTTTCCCATTCTGTTTGTTTGTCGCTCTCGTTTTTTATTATGTCGAGCACAAACCTAAACACAAAGCATTGTACCCACCTACATTCCAATAAAGTTAATTAAAATTTTGACAAAAGAAATCCGCTCGATGCTCATGTAGTGTAAAGAGAAACATTAATACATCTCGCAGCTTCGTTGAAATGTACTGTCACTTAGGTCATGCTCGATGTTATAAAAGTTAAAAACCCGTTTCTTTTTAGGTTTTATTAAGGTTTCTAGTGTTTTAAGCGATAATGATGTTTCACCCTGTTGTTCCAGTGGCTCGTTACTTACTTTATCAAAAATAAAGATAACAAATAATGTTTAGCTGTTACGAGGGAGTATATTTTAAGGGTAATTTTTGTTGCATAACTCTTGTGATAAGAATAAATACCTAGTGGGACGCGAAAAAGCTGCATTTCCGGGGCAAATAAAAACTTTATAGAGGTGTTTTCGCTTTAAGAGATGGTAAATTTTGTTAATGCTATCTTAAGGGTATTATCACCACTTTATGTAGTAGAATATGTTTTTTTAACGGCGAGTGGCATAATTTGATCCTTCGAGCCGGATGCGGGGAATTTTGCACCAATTTGCAGTTTCGCAGTCCACAACTAAAACGATACTTATTTTGAGGCGCGGAGAATACAAATTGCTTGATATTAACATTTGATACTTAAGATGGCAAAATGCAATTTTCGCGGGGACGTATCGTATGTATTGTGCAAAAGTTGAAACACTCCATAATTCAATTTATCTCATGTCGCATACATAGTTCGTTTTTATTGTCGGAGACGGCAAATGGCGGCCGTTAAGAGAAACTACGATGCCTCATCCGATATGATCTACGCAAACAATTTAAAAAGCAGACATTGACGACTGATGTTGGGAGGATCGTTATAGGAGTTCACATTTCACGCAAGCTCCGTAAAGTTTGCAATTCAGGATCCTTCGTCTCTTAATTACATGGCGACGCTTTAAGTAGATGTCCTACCTACGATCATGTGAGAGCGCCCAAATTGCCGCTGCTGGACTAATTTTTCCTTTTTAAACTGCTCGTCGCATAAATTTATATTATTTTCAGAGCCTAGCGGCGTTTTGACTTGAATGCAGGCTGATTTTGATAATTAATAGGAACCACGATGTTGTCGGCGGCGCAACTTTTATTGGTACTTACCCCTACCAGAATAAAATTGCTTCGCGGAATATTAATTACAAGTAATAAAAGCACCGCTCTTTGTAGACAAAACTAATTTATTTTCAATCAATTATTTTTAGTAATTAACAGTTTGAATACATAGGTGGCTTCATACGGCACCTCTATTAAAAGCCACAATGTAACACAACTAACTGACAAGCACGCTTAAAATTCATTTTAGAATCAAAAATTACCTTCAAATCGATTACTTGAACGGTGCATTCACTGCTGCGCTAATAAAAACAGTTCATGTTTATTCAAAAAACAAACGTGTGCGGTATTTAATCATTGCAGTATGTTAGTTAATTGAAAGTTTTCTGATACGCCAAAAGTCAGTCGTTAACTGTATTGTCAATAATAATTTCAGCTAAGCCGCTCCAACACTCCCCTTCAAAAAGTAAAATTTCTACACAAAAAATGCGATTACATTTATTCTGATTAAAGTTCGTTCGCTAAAAATTCTATTTCCTAGATGAAGAATCGTTTCTATCCCCTACTATGCGACAAGCTGAAATATTATTTTTGCCTTTTTCGGTCGAATATACTTAAAGGCCTCTTGTGCATAATCACGACGCTAAATTTCCACTTAGACTTTTACCATTTTCTGCAAAGTGAAATTAATGAAAAACTCGTGTCTGCGCGCATAATTGCGAAGATCAGAGCTGTTGCACTCATAGATCATTTACATTTCAATTACACCCTGTGTAAGTCCCTTGTGCATTCAATTTAAATTTGTGACGCCATTATTAGAGAAGTGCTTTTTCTAACTTTAAATAACTTGTCCTCCCATCATATTATGCACGATTCTTGAAATTACTCCTCTGGAAAAAGTCTGCAACTCTGCACTGACTGTATAACAAGAAGCTGAATTCCGACTAACGCTTCAAAGATCTTGTAAAGCAAAGTCAAAAGCCACCACGTCTTAACCACTAAGAAAAAACAAATCCATAAAATCTGCTTTTGGCTCACGGAAACGTATTAATGCACTATAATTGCATTTCCTCTTTATTTACTTATTTTTTAACTCAACTTTATCAAACATATCATGCATCTTCAGCGATAATTTAACTAATCCATCACAAGACTCCCCACCAATATGTAAACAGTATAACCGTGTCTCTAATTTTTCCACTAAATACAACAAAATTTTATAAAATAAACGTAAGTTATGTTTACCAAATTTTTTATTTCATAGCAACACTGTTTTTTTAAGCCTCAATTAATGTTTTTTTTTTGGAATTTAATGTATTGCTTCATTACGAAAATTGAATCAATCAACGTTACACACAATTTTGATTTTAATGCTACCAATATTTTGCTATAGCCTTTAATTTCCTTGATTGCGTCGACGGTAAATAAAAATAAAAATATCCCCTGGTGTTTTAATTAAAGGTGAAATTTTAGAGAGCTGCCTTAGGTAAAGCAGAGCTCAAATCATTATAGGGAGTAAACATATTTCACCATCGGGCTTTTTAGCTGAATTTAAACATAAAAAGAGACAAAGATACCTTTCCAGGCGGAGCAGAGTGGAACGGGTTCTTAAAGGAAGTATTAACATGTTCGACACCTGTAAAGGATTATACAGTTTACACGAGATACTCAATTTATTATTAGATCACCCAATTTAATCATTTATGTCGTGAATTACAGCCACAAAATCTTACTCAACAATTAAAGGGTTGTTCGTCAGCCCGTAAAATGCGACGTCTAGACGTCTTTCCGATACCTTGCTGGAAGTCGTTGCATTTTTAATAACATGAAAGTTTGCACCACTTATTATTTATTCATATGACAACTTTCCGCAACGAGTGCGTCTTATCGGAACAGAGTTCCTCAACGACCGCTCAACTAAACTGATTCTTCCAAAGAGTATATACGCAGTTATTATCATACTGACGTATAATAAGTAAACAGAAAAAGTTATAAATTTTGGACTGAAACTTTACAATAGACATCAAAGCTTCGGTCTTCTACTAACCGAAATTAAAGTTCGTCGCTGCAAACCACTACTACAAAGATTTCCACTGTCGAAACTCCGATTAGATTCTTTATATCTTTTACGTTTTTTGTGAATTAAAAAAGCTGAGTATAAGAGAAGAGGCAACCACAAGTAAAATGGATCGGGCGCATATTGACTGTTGACTGTGTTGACAGTACACTAAATTTAAAATTTTTATTATAAACCCTTCGAAAGTTGGAAGTAAAAAATGTTTGTCTAAAGTTTGGAGGACTATAACTTTTTAGGGCGACACTTTTTATATAGACAAAGTTGGTTTCGATCGATCGCGCTCAGTCGCACTGCTCCGGTGCTAATTCCTGAGGTAACCAACAAAAGGTTTACCACTTTTTTTAATTGATACAGATTGCCAGTGAAGAAGTTTCGATCTGTTTTACAAGTTAGTGAACCGAATCATACATTTACGACATTTTTACGATCACATTTTCCATTAATCCGCGTAAAGTAATTAACTTTCGTTACAACACTCGGCTTTAAATGCGACCTGGACAGACACAATTGAACAAGATTTACAAGTTTTCGCTGATTCGGTGGAATACTATAAATTAGCAGACTTTACTATTTATTTAATTTATCACATACTGTCAAACGCAGCTACTGGAAATTTATAAGTGCGAGCCGACTTTCCTGAGCTCACTTTCAGATAACGCTTATTCCAATGTTCGCATTATAATTTAATAGTTTAATACGTTTGCTTTTCGTTTATCTACCTATTTCCTCTTCACCCGGCTTTCACTTGCAGATTTTCGTTTAAACATATTTACAAATAGTGATCAATTATAATAATAACGCGAATACCGTGGAAACTAACGTTATAGCAACGTCATAATTTGACGTCAACGTCAATAGTTTTGACGTTGATTATTGACACCCGTATATTCAAACATATCTAATTGCAAAACACGTGTTCTGATTATTCCGACCAGTAAAAATTACGTTCTATTACGATCTGAATTTTTTTTAAATGATTACTTTTTGACGTGAATTTAACGTTGTTCACGACGCTATTTTAACCGAATTTACAACCACTTATATTTTATTTTACTTAAATTTAAATTACCTTTAAATGGATTACTTGCGTTCACTACTGCGCTAATAAATACAGTTCATGTTTATTAGTGTGAGGAACTATTTAACTCGTCACACAAAAATAACTACAAAAGTCAATCGTTGACTATACTGTCAATAATAATTTCAGCTAAGCCGCCACAACACTCCCCTACGAAAAGTAAAAATTTCTACACAAAAAAAAAATATTTTTCCTGCATCGCAAATTTAAAGTCGTACTTTTAGATCCTTAATTTCACTTCACTTAACCTTAATTTAGTGTTTGAACGTACAAAAGGGAAGAGTCATAGTTCATTCGCAAAGTCACTAAGTCCCTTAGCCTGAAGTTCTCGGTAATCATGTGTTTTTGTTGTTGAAATTATCCCCACATCACAACTCGAGTTAGGTTCTTTAGAAACTGTCGTCAGATTTCAAGCAAGTGACTACAAAAAAGTGACGCGTAAAATATATAGTCAAAAACTGGCGCGATCGTTGCAAGTTTCTGAAGGAATTAGTGCACGAGTGTGCAAATAACGTTTCCCGTACGAAATTTGGAGTGTATATTTTGTGTCGTAAAGTTGGTAGAACGCGCTATACATAATGGGTATTAGAATGTTGTTTTATTCGGTAAAAAGTTAGTTTTAAGTAGTTGTACGAAACTAAAATTGAGGTATTTGGAGGTAACGTTACCTGTTTAAGAGAGGATATGTTTACTTAGCCGGTAAAATCAGGCAGAACGCGATGTAAATAAAGTTATTAGAATATAAGAGCTAAGTTCACGAACCTGGTGGCGCGTAGTATTTCAGTTTACACCTTAATTTCCCAGCAAAATGAAACGTTTAATATAATTATTAGCGGGTCGGGTAACACTCGGAACGTTACACGTTACTTATGATTCATGTTTAAAGTTGGGTAGCTGTAAAAAGCGACAAGAGTTACTAATGAATGAGAACTGCGGCGAGAGACTTGTTTTGACCCGGACGTGGGGTTAATTCTACAAATAAACTCGCTTAATTATCAATCTGGGACCCGTCTGATAAATCAAGGTTGCTTTAGAAAATTTCATGCAGCTTTGTTTTACTATATCTTTTCTAAATTATGACCTACATTTTCGCTTTTACGTTTACATCCACCCTGACGACAGATTTTGATTTAGGATTCCATAACTTATGGACTTCTCCACTCAATTGCTGCAACCTCCATACTTCCATTTCATCCCCCTCGTACACGATTCGCCACTAACTAATATACATATATCAGCCGTTTCGGCCCAATATCACAGCGCTATTCATTAAAGGACCCAATCAACCTTACGCTCCCGAAAAATACGCAATTATGCGCCACATCAGTGCGGAATATAACACACTAAGTGCCACTTTCGGCGAAAAAACACCCTCGACTGTTCCAAGTGAGCGAAGCTCGCGACACCATATACATATAAAACTACACACATCCATTATTTCGAGTAAATGAAATGTAACCCCCTACATAAATGTAATAAATTCAAAGCGCGAGCGAAGCGCTCAACCTATATACTAAATACAAAGCTTTACACCCATTCAATAAAATAACGTGTAGTTATGTACTCCTCTGCTCAGTTTTCAACCACGAATCCTCCATTTCACCTCGGTATCCCGATTCGCAGCCACCTAATATTCATATATCAGCCGTTTCGGCCTAATATCATAGCGCTATTAATTAACGCACCTAAGCACCGCTTTAGTCCCGTCAACTAGGTAATGGGGCACTTGAGGGCAAAACGGAAAAAGCAAAATTTCACTTTTAACCACGAAATCTAGGGAAGGGGCTGTTTAAGAGTGTGACGAAGTATAAAAAATTAAAAATTTTAGCTAATATACTGTGTGTTTATAATAAGTGTGACACTATATATGACATAGTCGTTTGTGTTTTTTTACAGTTAAAAGTGTGCGTGGTTAATCCGCAAGGAACCGTTATTATCCGCCATTACGCTCTAATGGCGCCTCATCGGTTTTCCTTCGTCGGTAATATAGATAAATTCTTGACCACACCCCGTACATGTTATTACAATAACGCACATAATCGCTCCGACTCTTGTACTAGCAGCGTTCACCCTATTCGAATTAATTGAACCGTTCAAGGCATCAAGCATTAAAAGGGGGATGCTGCCCTTTAAATCCTTCGCCAAATTGAAGGGTAGTAACTTTTTATTAAAAACTCCATCTCATAAAGCACTACAATTGACAAACAAAGAAACACACCAAGCATGACGCCATCAAGCGCACTCCATTCACAACCGACAAAGACGGAAAACTCTTTCATCGTCTAACGCCTCTGGCTCTCTCCGGATCGACGTTTGCGGTGTCAGCCATGGATATCAAACAAGACAATTAAAACTATTTAAGTTTCGGGGAAAAAGCCGATAGAACTTCGAAAGGAGGAGAGAATTAATTCGCCAATCAACACCGTTTCACCAGCGAAAGAACTCGATTGAACGCCCATGCGGAGTCACAAGTCTAGAAACGAGCGATGTAAAGTCCGTTCACCGAACAGATGGAGCGATCACGTGCCTACAAAGCGAGCGTCCAAGCTCAACACTGAACGCATAAAAATCTAAATAAATGGTCATTAGTTTAAAAATAAGGCATTTCAGGCGAAACGTTTTTATTATTATGTGGTATACAGTGGCACGATATTCAAACCGGATTATATTGTCATTGCGGATATTTTTATCGCTTAATAACAAATTTGAAATGTTTAAATTTGGAAATCAAAATGACAACTTAATCGCTTTAACAACTCCATCTGTTCGATAAACGAGGTATAATCTGTAAATAATATATAATAAACCTAGAGGCCTAACGTGAACTACGACGAGTGGTAGACAGATTAGAAAAAGATCAAAGATGAGTTAAATTTGGAAAGCTACACACTTGGTTTAGCCCGTCAGATATCAGAACGCGTTTTTGCACAGTAGTTTACATAGCCAGGCGTTCACTTTGTTAATTACATCAGGATTAAACTGCTCTTTTATATTCTGGATTCGGCTCTAGCCATATTTTATAAGTATACAGGGTGTTTTTTGCCGCTTATTTATGGCCGTGTTTAGTGAACTGTTATCCGCTATAATCTCAACCCCCCGGCTGATATTTCAGAACTGAATGAAGATAATTGAATTTTACCACGGGGAACTCGACGTGACTAAGGGGACCACTAGACGACAATTAAAAAGATCATCCACATGCCGCAATAAAATTCCATCTTTTTTGTAGTACCCTTATCTGCTTATTCCACAAAAGATTTTATTTCCACCACTTGTTTCGCTCATTTCTAACCCCAGAAGGACAATTTTCTCGGAAAGAACTTATTGATAAATCTGAAACGTTGCCGCCGTATTTACAACAAATTATAGAACAAAAGAGGTTTCGAAACTTGTATACAATCAAAATAATATAACACGACTCCGGTTACGCACGATGAATACAGATTCTCTGTTAAAATTTGAAATGTTGACTCGTCCCTAAAGCGAACTTATTGCTGTAATAAATACGCGTTTGATTTATTATATTATAAAATCAATCCATTATCTCAATTGTCTCTAATCCTCTCTTGGCGTGCCATCCTATCGATTATTTTGAATTTCTAGTTGCCTTTTTAGTACGTTTTACAAATAAAGACAGGCTTTAACATTAATGTGGCCCTTTTTATGTTTACTATAATATACGCTACTCGAGAGATTAAATCTCGTGGGAAATAACATAAATGTGATTTTTTTGCCCGGCAATTCATAAAACAAGAGAAATTTGCCATGAGGAGTGTTTTCGAGGTTTTTTATGAGGCTGATGCTTTTTGCAATGAAACATGAAACGACCGCTTTGTTAAGGTGTACGCACACGAGACGAACACGGCCGAACACGAACGGAAAGCAACCTTCGTACACATGTCAAACTCACAAAATTATGTTATTATATATTATGTTAAGGTGTACTCACACTGGCGCGAACAGGAATGCGCATGTCCGAATACCGTCCATGCGTCGTACGCGTGACAGCTTGACGTTTCTCGTCTGACAGAGTTATGTCTTTCGCACGTCGTAGTTAAACTGCTGTCAAGAAACGCGAAATCAACCACGCTTAGTCGTAATGTTTTCCGAAACATTTATTCTGTTGCGTGTACAATGTGAAAAAGTCGTTAAACGTGCAGAATATTGTGGCAGCTAACAATTATTGCGTCCAGTAAGAACCGCGTTATGAACTGTGACCAATAAATTAAGTTCCGGAACATTACATTTCTTGTGAGTTTGAGATAGGGTTTTCGTGCAGTTTACATTTCTTTTCGTTACATACGTTCAAATTCAAATTCTGTGTTGAAAACAAATGCAAGTTCCGCGAATTTTGGGTCGGTATTAGTGTGTCGTAACAGAAAATCAACGCGCTTATCTAAACGCAGTATTCCGCGATTTACCGAATTGAATTTTTTGAGCAAACTATTTTTTTAAAGCCGCCTTCAGTCATGAATATGCTGAAATGGGAAATAATACCACGAATGTCGCTGTAAAATTTCATAGCAAAAGCTTCAACGGTTGCTCGGTAAGAATACGGTTTTTTTCACATCACTGAGTCCCCTATTGAAACGATGTGATCCATTTAACAAATTTTAGAGAAAGATGTTAGTGTGTTGTGACACTTAAATCCATAAAATTGTCCTACCATTTCTTACGACGGAAAACGCAAAATCTGATGATGTAAGAAAAGGATTTTAAACAAAGAACTGTCTCCACATAAGCGATTCAATAATGTTTGCCTAATCTACTTTAGCGATTCATCCATCAAAAATTGGTTTTTCGCCGGATTTATGTTCTTCGAGGTTTATTGTTTCTCGAGGCGTGCCTTTAGGTGGAAATGCACACACTTACACGCGGAGGCGTATGTTTGGTTGCATAGCGAGAAAAAGTACCTAACAATAGTTGGAAAGGACAAAAAGCCTCAGATATCGACCACTACTCGCAACACAATCGGTAAAACAAATAGAATCACGAACGAAAATTATTTTTAAAAGGCCGCGTTACGACTTAGGTTGGAGGGTGCTATCACGAGAACAATCATTCAGGGAGTGCAAATTCCAATTAAACCTTATCGCCCCTTTTTCACTGCGATTGTGTATAATGCATTCACCATCCGTAACATTTTATTTATCACACGGCGTGTGGCAATGTTAGACTATTTTTCTTATTGATTTCTGACGCGCCACCAGATAAAAGACATTTATTATGTTTTTTTTATTTTTCTTTTATCAAATAATTGAAGCATTAGCATTTATACTAAATCGTCACACGATCAATTTTGGCCACGTATACAAATGCCAGATAAACAACTCTAGTACGATTTATTTTTATTATTACACTTAGAATAATCGCCAATAATAATTTTAACTAAGCCGCTACAACACTCCCCTCTTAAAAGTAAAAAGTTGTTTTGTGGATCGCATGTATTCACTCCATCTGTTCAGTATATTCATTTTGTTACTATATATGTTGTAGAAGCGAGCTCGTTTTTGTTTTGCAACGTCAGAATTTCTAGTTTTGGGTCTTTACAGGTGTGTGCATAAAAGTTTTTTACCTGCGTTTTGATTCTGCAGTAAAACTAAATGTAGAAGAGGAAAGTATCTGTGAAACGTTATGTCGGTCAGCGGTGAGTTATTTACGACAGTATTTACGAAGTATCGAAGCTTGCATAAACGACATTAAAACATGACACGCGTACATGAAGCCCGAGAATGTAATTATCGTGGACGGAACGGATTAGGCGCGTTTATTTTTATGGATTTGCGTTCGGTTTTCATCAATATAATTTGATGAAGGCCGCCGGAACGGTAGGTGCATGGTTATTAAGTCGCTTTCAGTGTTTACCTTTCTTCAAAGTTAGGTATAATGAATCATTTATAAACATCAAGCAACAAACGCGTCTGACCATCCAACTTTAATGATTAATTAAATAATTTAACGGTGGCGGAATAGTCGATGAACCGATTTTAAGCAGAAATTTTTCGAGTGAAGGTTTAATTACGAATTGAACGGAGTGGTGTAATTTGTTGCGGTTGAGTTTTTCGCCGTCAATTTTTGAAAAAAATCCACTTAATTTATTCGCATGAGTGACACTTTTTGTTACGTGAACTTGGTTCGGGAAACTTTTAATTTATGGGGTATATTGTGGAATAATAAATGTGCAAACATGGCGGTGTTGTTTTTGGAGTGGTGATTGGCGTACAAATTAGCGATAATTTGTGTGTTAAGTAGTGTATTTATCAGCGGTTTTTGCCATTATGTCTGTAGGTGTTATTAGAGAATGGAATAAGTGAATAAATGTATCAGTGTCACGTCGGAGAATTGCGTGGAGGAGCATTTCATTAGGGGAAGTGTGAAGCTTTGTAAAATTTTGTCGGAGTAACTCTTTATAATGCAATCAATTACTGATATCGATTAGGTGTCTTCGCCAAGATGAATACTACACCTGTTAATGTAATCACTCGAACGTGCCGCTAATGGACAATGTGGTCATTGCGATGAGCCTGGATAATATTTTGCCTCCCTTAATTCCAGCTACGACGTTGCTTATTCATAAATTACCACATCATCTTCCCCTTGCTTGCCTGTTGACATGCAGATAACGAAATTATGTTTAAATAACGGATGCAGATATACATATTTATCCATCTTCTCGGTCTGTTATCTCTCTCAAAATAAAACGTTATTTATTGACGTTATTAATAAGATTAATACGTCTTCATTAACCATATCCGCTTTACCAAGAACTGTGTGTATTGTAAAGTCGAGATAAACAAATGATACAACTTCCTTACAAAGCGCAAAAAACCCTCCCAGTTCCCAAGTTTTAGTTTTCTCCTTTATCTCCTAGATTATACATATTATTGTTCGTCTGCCATCGCAAAAACTTAACATGCCATTATACCAGAGGTATCGTATTACTCCATTAGTTCGTTACGTGAAACTTGATGCACCTCAAGCTTAATATTTTAAAGGAGCAAACTTTTCATGCGATGCCGAGAAAAACGCTAAACACTTAAACAAGAGATAGTTAATTATTCTTACAGTCGGTAAGCACGACACGTTATAATCTCCGTCTCTTTTTTCATTTTTTAAAGCACTCCCCTAAAAACATTCTAATTAATTGTACAGCTCCGCGATTCAACCTTTCCCTCTTCTACTCGACACAGCAGCAGCAGATCCCACAGGTACCTCCGGGTACTCTCTAAACACGCTATAAACAAACCGAAACTTTAACTTCGTCGAATAAACTACTCATGTTAGCAATATAGTGTTAACTCAGGTGTGAGAAAAGTCGGATACTACAGTACCCACTGAAACTTATCCAACAACAAATTGAAACCGTTAATTTATCCGCAAAAGTCACAGTAATTAGTTAACTAATTCATCTTCACCAAAAAAAATTTTCACTTCGAATTTCAATGAAACTCGCTCAAAGTGCGTAACTCATTTAGCGATAAAAGTAAGAATTTTTTTAAATGGAACACAATAAAAGACGAAATTTCATTATTAGATGAGTCCTACACCATTTCTTCTACAGTCCGTCACCCGCTTAGGCATGCTCGAAATTAGATTATCTCTCTGTCGTCGACGCAGTGATCCGGAACTTCTTGAACACGTCATCAAATTTCATGTAATTTTTAACACAGAGTGTTTCGGAAAATGTGGGTCCAGGACTCGGCACCACGAATTTTTACCACGGTATATTGTTATGTGTCAAAATCATGTTTAGTATTGACCAAAAATTAATTACGCGTAAACCAAAAACATGGATGTTTTGCGACTAAGAGTTGTGGATGATAGTTTTTCGATTGGTTTGGTGAAAATTGTGGGAACGCTATAGATTTTTCTTTGTCTTCGGCGACGTGAAAAATGTCGGATTTAGATTTAGAATGATAAATACAATGAACAAAAGCTGATTATTTTAGACTGGTTACACCCACTCAACTCAAACACGGCTTTACTCTTCGTCGTGTCCGTATTCGTACATAATAACCTCCGTCTTTTTTTAATTTTTTAAATTCGCTCTCCCTAAGAAGATTTTTAATTAATTGTGTGCAGCCTCCGCGATTCTCGCTTTATTTATCTAGTTACGAAGGCAATCTAATTAAAATTGAAAAGTTATATCCACTTTTTTCAATTTCCTACTTTATATAATTAGGAAGTCATTAACTTAATTTTCACCTTTTTAGTCATTTAAGATTTTGATTCTGTTGCCCAAAATTTTGCGAAGTATTAATTATAAGTTTAAAAAGAAATAAAACTTTGTAATGAATATCAGAGTTTTTCCCTTCGGTTTCTGATTCGTTATTTTTTAAGGCTTGTTTTGAGATTTCATTAAAAACATGCTTGTTACGGTTTATTTGAATGTAAAAGAAAGTTGCATGGTTGTAAAACTGGCGAGTGTTTTTAATACAGAAATAACACTATAAAACAACCATTAAATCTTTCCAAAGCCTTTTAAACGGGAGAAAACTGAGATGTAATGTTTTAAAGGGAAGCCTCCAATAAAGGGGGAGATGTGTTCTCCAAATTTTAAAATCTAATATTTATTTTACAAATTAAAAGCATAACTTCGTTGGAAAATCTTATGAATACTAATTTCTTTGTTTCGTAGTGATATGGGTAATGAACTGACGCGCCATCTGTGTTTTTATTTTGTAAGCAGCGATGACGAGAGCGCCGGCTCGAGTTTATTGGCCAAATTTAGTTGAAAACAGGAAGTAATGCATGACTTCTCATTTTAGAAATATTTAGGGATGTTAAGCTTATTAATTACATTTCCAGAACGTATGTTCTTTTAGTGCCCTGCCAGCCGTTTTTATCTTTAGGAGAAGGAAATTAAAACGTCAAAACGATGGTAAAACATTTTTATTGAAACATTCATACATTTGTAGTGTTGAATGTATAATAAAAAATACAGCTGTTATAAAAATTTAAATACATAGTCTAGATTGTATTGTAGATATCGGGAGTGGAGGAGTCTATATCGAAAATAAGATGATAGTCACTCATATGTAGAAGACGATATTTTAGAGGTATCTAATATATAAAAATAATATCTCAATTCACATTAATATCAACATTGACGAAACATTTTTTTTACAGAAAATAGCACGCTTAATATATACATATAAAAAATAGACATAAAAATAGATCACATAAGACGATAATATCAAAATAATGAAGACATCACAATTAAACCCTACAAGCTTCTACTTAACGTAATTACGCAACCAAGTGTATATATCTGCCTCGTTCTGCGACACCCAGTTTATATTGAGCTTAATGGTCTCCAGGCTCTGTTCCAGCGCTCTCGCCGCTGAACCCACGTTCATTCCATTAAAATAAGTCGACACCTGCGCAAACCAAACCTTAATTTAAAAAAAAATCCCTCGTCAAAAATATCCGTACCTCATAGTAATCGTAGGGCGTGGATAAGTGAGCAGTGACAGCTGATATGAGACTACCCATCATGAAGGTAGCATTTCCGAATAAGGAATGCATTGTTGGCCAGTAAGCTTTGAGATGCCTCCAGGCCAACAACCTTCCCTCAGGATTCGCCGCTACGACGGCTAACACAATTTTGACATCCTGAGGCTTAACCATGTTGCGATCCAAAGTTTCCAGGAGATATCTTTGAAGGAGCCAAGGGTCCGACGCGACCCCTAACGCCTTCAAGAGCAACTTCCTCTCGCTAGGGATTGTGGTGGAATTGTACAAGTTCCAACAGTGTTGCCATTCTGTCATTCCGCCATATTTGATCCCAGCGGAATACACGACTTCTTTCAAGTCGGGATTGATCGATTCATTGCTAGTCATCCATTTTTGGAATTCCTGCTTGGCCTGTGTGACCGTTTCGTTCAGTTCGCACAGAATAGCCGTTGATAGTATTTCCGTACGCATTAATCTGGCGGTTTTGCATAATCAGATTTGACGGGTTAATAGACCTATCATTCACTTACTTATCTAGATGCGAACCTTGATTGCCCCAACCGACGTATTTGGCTACCGGAGTCAATAACTTCCTCATGTATTTCAAAAATAGTTTGTATGCTAGAGATTCGGATAGTCTGCGACTCCAGGATTGGAAGTGTTCGATGGCCGTAGCCCAAGGAACGTAATCGCGTTCTTTGGAAAGATATAGGGATAATTCGAGAGGGATGCTAGCGTTCAGAAGTCCAGCTCTGGAAATAATTATCACAGTAGAAACACATTGGGCAAGTGAAACTAATAATTTACCGACACAAGGTAAACGCATCATCAATCAAATTAGCTCTGTCAGCGGGATTAAACACCGTGTGGTTGTTCCGCAAAACGTTGACCAGCGATCTCCACATAGCTTCATCATACATCACCCGATAAAACCCAGACTGGTTTACATTTGCTTTTATCCAGGTTATATTGGGATCGAGCTCAAACCGAACTGGAACCACATATCGTGAATTTGTGCTTTTGTACCAAACAATACCAACATACCATCTGTCATGTTCATCCATACGTTATAGACAGTCTGCGTGTCGTTACTGGTGAAATAGCTTAAAGGAACGTACCATTTGTAGTCGTATTTGGATTTGGGAAAACTTCTTATGGAACTGTTCATACTCTCCACGGTCAACAAAAATCGTTCTTGCGTCACGATAACTTCGTTCTCTTCTCTGGTGATAGTAATTAACGGAAAACCCATTTGTTGGGTCCACGTATCCATAATCACCTTAACTTCCAACGACTGATTCGTATTTCTACTAAAAACGTTCCAAAGATCCTTAGTGTCAGCGTTACTGTATTTGTAGGTGTTTAGATAATCATTAAGGCCATTTTGTAAAGTTTCTTGTTGAAGAAATTTGCTCAACATGTATAAAATTGCGGCACCCTGAAACAGACGCGTGTAGAAACATGTAATTTCCGGTAGAGGTCGTGACTACTTTGCTATAAGAGATGGTATCAAAAATAGCTTCGATCTCCGCGGGGTCGTGAACAGCTACAGAAATGGGATGACTACTAGAAAGGGCGTCTAAGGCAAGAGCAGGCTGAGTTTTATCTAAGATAAACTGTTCCATCATTTTCCATTCGGGGAACAAATTGTCAACACCTAAGTATTCCAAATAACTGGCAAACCCTTCGTTTAGCCACAAATCGTTCCACCATTTCATGGTAACTAGGTTACCGAACCATTGATGGGCCAGTTCATGGGCGATCACTATGGCCACGTACTGATGTGCCGTTGTGGAAGTCTCGATGGGGTCATATAAAATGGCAGTTTCTCTGTAGGTGATCAATCCCCAATTTTCCATGGCTCCCGTTGCAAAATCTGGGATTGCCGCCAAATCTACAAACAATAAGTACGAAGGAAGGTTTTAGTTAGTTGGATGACTCTGGCCACAAATGTGGCGTCTCGTTTTGATAAGATCAGACCGAAACATTGAGACACCGAGAAATTTCCTGAGCACAAAGCAACTAGTTTTACTGTGAGCTGTATGTTTCTCGGGGACTGACGATTTGGTTTGATAAAAAATCTGTGAGTCAGTACCTTGTTTTGGCAACGGATATGAAACTCCGAAAAAGTCTTCAAAGTACTCCAGTATGTGGGTCGTAGTGTTCAAGGCAAAAGATGCCTGGGAAATGTAAGGAGAGGGTGTATAGACAGATACGGAAACACCTCTTTGGGTTTGTCGGCTGAGGTGAGTGTAATCACATATAATAAAGGCGACCAAGTAAGTACTCATTTCGACAGATTCTTGGAAATCGTCTCTAAGCTGCAACAAAACTTTCAATTTGTGCGAAGTTCGAAAATAGTACACTTACAAGTCCGGTTCCCATGTAGAAACCGACGTCTTCTGTATTTATAACAGGCATATTAAATAGAGCTATATGAAATCTATCTCTAAAAATAGACATTTTGAATTTCGCTTTAAAATTTGGCTCATCAAAACATGGGAAGGCAGCTCGAGCATAAGTTGGTTCGAAATGTGTTGTAGCCAAATATCTGTAAAACGGTCGTTATGCAAATTCGTGACACTTCACGAAAGTTTGCTTACCTTTTTTCTCCATCTCTGTTGATATAACTAGATATATAAAACCCTTCAAATTCTCTACCTAACTTAGAAGTAAACCTAATCATTAGCGTATAGTTGTGTTTCTTCCGAAACTTTTCTTTCATTTCGATATAGAGCTGTTGGGCTCCTGTATATTCCAACATTTTCGTGATTCTCATATGATGGCCTTTTCTATCTTGGACCATCTTATCAGTTATGCTTAAATTCTTACTATGCAATACTATAAAATGAGTGTCTTTTTCTACGTGGAATTCAATGGAAACTTGACCTATGGACGGTGTAAATATTAAAAAGTGTTCCGTGTTTAGTGTATGTGGTAAGTACCTTTGACTTCGAGTGTGGTGAGATTCGGATGAATCGTGATGTTGTAACGCGTGGGTCTTACGAAAGTAGGAAGACGGATGTTGTTCCAGGGGAAGATCTGGCCATTAGTCGCACGAGGAATGAAAGCCTTGGTCACGTTCCAGTGCTCGTCGACGAAATTTGGAGGTTTTTCGCCGGCACAAGTGCAGTCTGCGTCGTACGAGATATAAGAGATGTGAAGGGTGAGATAGAACGACTGGTACTTACCACTTTGTGGCCCTGTGAATGCGATAATGACGGCAATAGTGAAGAGTAACGCGAAGACGACTGTTGCGATACAAAGAGCTCTGTTATGGGAGCACGCAGCCACTCCATTATTTTCGTATAAACTTTTCTTAGTTGCACCAGCAGGACTTTCTGTTCCTGCAACACCGCCTGTGTCACAGGTATTATGTATGAGTGGTGATGATTGACAGATGGAGTGATTGATTTGTGCGGTATGATTTGTACCTGTAAGAAACGCAACATCGTCAACATCCTGTTCGCTCATCACTCTCTCTCCGCGTCTCCAGACAACTGCCTCGATGCTGTGGTCTCCAGTAACAACTGAAACCTTAACCAGGGGCTCTCGATTCCTACCCTCCACAGTAACTCTTAACTATTACACTACTTTGATGGATGGATTAAGATTTGGACTCAAATAACTAAGCACTTGAGGAAGAAAGACAATTATTACTACATTATATTTATGTTGAACACCTCGTTTTGGTCAGAAAGTATAATGCGACATAACTCGTGTTGATATCATGGGTTTGATTTTAGACTTGTTTGTATATCGATTTACTTGACTAAGTTTACGGCGTTTTGATGCTTATTGTTGTACTTTACGTGATATAGTTGGTTTTTGTAAACTGATGTAATTATAAGAACGACATGAGAGAGACGCGTTACGAAGCTGTACTTTAGCACCGCACCAGACCCTCCGGAACCCGGAAACCTGCGTCGTTTTTACAGGAGCTACACGCATGTGCCGGCACGAAGGGCGGCAATGTTTTGATGTTTTGGCAAAATGCCTCGACGGTAGCATTTCGCGCATGCAACCACGTGCTGGATTCGACGTGCCTTTGATTTCCAAATCCAAACTACTACATTGTATATCAGGCATGCAATCGATAAATTCTCATAGAGAGAGAGTAAGAATAGTGTCGTGCAGTGAAACTGACTGGCACCGAGTAGTAGACCAACAAAACTTACAACACTAAAAACTCTGTGCTCTATAGAGTCTAGCTAGACATTTGACGTTACAGACTATTCTATGAGACATGTCATGTCAAGCGGGATGAAGAGTGGAGGTCAGTTCGAAATTTGGGTTGCGAGGCGGTTGTGGAGCGGCCGAAAGAACTGGAATCGGAACCCACCTTGGAGCCTTACATTGCCGTTTTGGGTTTGCTTGAACCTTCCCATCGGTTCCAGCCGGATCACGTCCGCTGGTGAAGGAGAACCTTGGGGCATGGTGTTATCGGAGCGCTCAATCATGGAACATTCTACATAGCAACAACTCAACCGCTATAACTATGCAGAAAGAGGCGACCTTTTGCCATAAGTAACGAGGCAACCATCTACTAACTATTGTAAATCCTATTCTACTTATCCAACGGTAAAATCGAAACTTGGGAACTGATCGACATACACATGCTATCAACTCACTAGGTATTGTACCTGTTGATAGCAATCGACGCTCAGGAACTTACACTATCGCAACACAGAACACCTAAATCTCTTGTTTGTCATTCTTTCGGCTTTCGACGCACCGTCTCTTGGCGGGGAAACGCTGAATGCACATCGGATGCCGCCAACTCAACTGAACGCGACGCTTGCGACGCCAGCATTCATTCGTTGTTATACGTAGTATACCTACTTCCCATTCCTGCCCCAATCGACTTTCAAAGCGACGAGCTTGACCTCAACTGCTCTTAAAATACATGTGGCCGATGCAGTATTGATTTTCGATTACAAACGTAACGTAACCTATTGCATCCCCTATACTTATTTAACTCCCCATCAGTAGGTAAAGCCGACCGTCCCCTCATAATTTTCACGCGAGAGATCCAAACACGTGACGAACCCGCTATTGATCTAATTTCAGCGAGTTTGCGCCCCTCAAACCTTTAACTCTTATCGCAACCTATTATATTCCTCGTTGCTATAGTTATAATCAATTTTACAAACAAAAGTTACAACTTTTTATGTACTTTCGTGCCGCACACGATCATCTCTTCAATTATCTTCTACAAAATCTTTCCAAAACTCTATAACTACCTATGTCAGCTCCATCTACTGACCGACTTACTCAAAGTTCCATCATTAATAATAATGAATTCTGTTAGGTAAAGACGACACAAATATATGTGAACACACTTTCAACTAGTATTTTCCTTGACCGAGTTACAAACTTTTCCAAAACAAGAAAAGTGCGACAACCTTATTCACACTAATGGCGATACTTTCCAAACGTCACGACTTCTTTCTTAATTCTTAAAGTGCGGGAAGAAAAACGGCGCAATTCTACGACGTCCGGAGATAACGACGATACTTTTCTTCGTTAGTTTAACTTCATTAATAATGCGCACAGTCTGACCATTAAGGCAATAAACAGCAGAAACCACCTGAACTTGTTAACTTTAGTGACAAAAAGACCGACCATAGTCATTAAAAAGCCACCAAACGTTAACTTGTAAAAGCGGCTATTACTTAAAAAAGGTCTAGTCGTAAACAGCTTAAACTCTGATGAGGTCCTCTCACTTTACTTAAAACTTTTATTTAGGGGAGTACTCGCAATACAATATTCTCTAATTTTCTGCTTCGTAATACTTTATCGTCTATGGAAACTAACACGACCGCAGAATATTCAAGCTGCTTGTCAGTCCAATCTGGTCAACGCAACGGGTGCCTGTCAGCCTGATCGAAGGGAAAACAGCTGCTTCATTTAACATTTCACCGCACACTGGTTATCGGTTTTCTAATTGGAATGCGGTGAAGTTTCCTATAGTTTACCCTTTTTCTCGTCCGTTATTAATTTTGAAGTTGTAACTTCCCCGCTAGTCGAACATTAAAAACTCAGCATGGGTTAGCATAACATAGACAGATAGAATTAGCATCGACAGAACAGGAAAAATTCGGTAGTAAATTTTGTTACATCAAACAGTTAGATACAATGTGTAAATTTAGTTCCATTTAGTATGTCAATTTGCTTGCAGAATCCTTAGGCCTAAACTAATTTCCTCCAAGAGGCTCCTGAATAGCAGTCTTAAAGAAATCTGCTATAGTTTAAGACAATAGTGTTACGTTGTCTATTCACCCGACTAAATACAATAATCCTAAATTTAATAATTGAACATAGTTGTTAATTTAGTTGATTGCTAGTTAAGTTTAAGGTCAATTATCCCAACAGAATATTACTTGGACCGTAATATTATGCCTATGTACAGGATGAATGAATTGACAATTGGATCTCCAAAACGAAAATTTACTAGAGCATTCACGTGGAAGACGAAATTACACTGAATATCCAGCATGTTTTCCACAGTCAGTACTCTAATTGATATTAATATGGGGCAGATAATAAATAAAACTGAGTTAACCTTCATTGTTGAAAAAATGTAATTGGATAGGAGTATATAATAAGACGCCGCTAGGTTTTATTAGTTTTAGATACATATTTATTTATTTCCAGGATTATAAATAAGACTGTAGCAAATTTCTCATTTTCTTGGCCGTCCACAGAAAGTAAGAAAATCGACATTTTCCAGTTCCTCAGAATCTCTTACAATTTCCAAAATTAACGACGCAATTACTTCGAAATTTTAATTGTACCATAAAAATATTACACTGCTGATTGTTTAAAATACTGAAAGCAAATATGTACTTACTCTTAATAATAAGGGCAATTTTATTTGTTTTGTTAGTCGTTTGTTCGTTTTGATCACTTTCCTTATCATTATTTCAATGTCCGAGCGAATCACAGCTAACTGCTAATATTGGTCTAAAACTGGTGTATTGTTGGTTGCATAAGTAATATAATTTTAAATTTTTCAATCGCTCAGAAACTATGCCGAACAAATGACATGCAACCGAACGCTGATTGATCAAACTTGATTAACATTGGTAACTATTTTGCTAGGACAATTAAATTCTTATTAACGACGTATACAGGAATAACCGTACACTCTATATTCTAACGCTGTACTCTTATAAAGTTTGGCGTCTAAAAAAATCACTTTCCTTCGTGCCCAATTTCGTGTAACATTTATTAATACTAAATTCGAAATTTGCAAAAACGCGCTACTTTTACGCTAAAACAACACGTCGAAGTTGTCGCCATTAGACTGAAACAAAACTGAACACAAAGTAACGTCGTTGTACTTACGATGAGATTGCCAAAATTATTTTTTATATTTTGGCACGGAAATTACATATTTTTGGGGTTAATTTAACAATGTTTAAACAAATTGAATTGATTTTAATAACTTCACTTTTATACGAAAACGAGCTGAATTAACAAGAACCACTGTTGTAAAGTTAACGATGATGAGCATCTTCAGAAACTATAAGATTAGGATCACGAACTACTACGCAGTTTTCAAAATTAGAGAAAATTAGATCTAAACAATCTAAATTATTAGAAAGACCGTTACGTTGGGTAAGATTTAAAAAAGAGCCCATATTAACGATTTCGTATCACGACTAATTAAACATTTCTGGTACTCAAAACATGATTTTCTATGCAATCAATGAATAAATAATACTCATTAATGCCAATATCTGGAGGCACATAGATAACAAATACATAAATATTTTGGGACTTCCAGAGTAGTTTACATCCAACCATATCAACAAAACAAGGTATAATATAATTGGACAAATCCAAACTCGATACTTTAAATTTGTCCTGCACCGTCAACAATACACCACCTCCACGCCTGCAACCTATAGCGGCAAAATTACGGTCCCTTCTGAAAACGGTATACCCCTTCGGAATAATTTCTGAACTAAAAACTGAGTCATCTAACAAAGTTTCAGTAAAGCAAATATCATATTCACAATTCGTCAGACCAGCATAAACCTCGTAACTTTTGATTTCAAACTTCTAACATTTTGGTAATACAGTCGGAGACCATTATCCCTTAAAAGTTGTTTGTTTTTCCTAAACAATGGAACCTCCTAACTCCTACACCTGGAGGCCAAAAATTAGGTTGAGACAGATTTGCGTATAGCGAGAAGGGAACTCCAATTTTGAAAACAGAGTTATTTCCAATAGTAGTAAGTTTTTCAACAATAAAATCCTGATCAGGATATTCTTCTTTGAGATAGTTGACTATTATTCGTATTTTCGGTAGCATTTCTATTGCTGATTCTACCTACATACAACCACGCACGTTTCGTTGCACCTAAGAAGTCCTTTAGAACGATCTTCTGTTGCTGTACTTACATTGGTAATCTGCTTCTTTTTCCTGTCGCGTTTGTACGAGACTTCTTTCCAAGGAAAATCTTTAGAAACATCGGAAATCGTATCACTGTTTCCATTACAGTTTTCGTTACTCTTGAAGCCTGGACTTTTCTCGAATTGTCAATATTACCTCTTACAGGATTATCTTGAAGTTTCTTGATTCCCTTGGTCGGTTAGTAGATGTTGAGAGGATAACGGAGTCTGTTTTCCCAAAACATGTTGGCGAACAGCTGATGGGTTGTTGGTTATTCTTGTATGCATTTTTTGGTCAGATTTCTTTGGTTCACTATTATCAGATAAAGTGAGCCCACCTTTTTGCGTGAGGAATCTGATAAGTTCGACGTTCGAGTCCCTCAAATTCCTAACTTCAGTTCTTAGTTCTTATACGTCCGCTAGCCTCATTAACAATTGCACTAATCACCACCTTAAATGTATTGCTTCTTAATACATCCGCTACGATTTCATGAATATTAGTAGAATCACAGTCACCTTGGTCGACCTCATGCGAACAAATAGGATTTTTTGCTTGAAGGGGTCTGTTTAGGCAAGATGGATGAAACACGGAATCACATCATCAAAGAGTGCTACCTATATTAAGAAAAAAAGGCAAAATATAGACCACCGCCCACCCACCCCATCTCAATTGTGATGATTTTTTTAATTCTTAGAAACTTAAAACACTTTTAGAATGTTAAATTTTTGGAAGGAAATATGGATTTTGTAATTAGGCTCCTCCCCTAGCTCTGCCAACGAATGAAAACTTCATTACTATTTAGATCAGGGCAGGTATGGGTGGAGCTTAATCTTTGGCTTTATTTTTTTCTTAATATACACAGTATCCTTTGAATGACACAATACTCAAAAACATGTCTTACGTGGTAGTTTCCTGTAGAGAAATAATGCGAATTTTCCAGTTAAATTCCGCTCATTTAGCTCTCGATGATTAAAAAAAAATCATCACAATTGAGATAGGGTGGGTGGGCGGGGCTTTTATTTTACCTTTTTAACATATGTAGTCGTGTTTTCAAACAAGAACCTTAAAACATGCTTAAAATTGTAAATTCTTGTAGATAAATATGGATCCTGCAATTAAGCCCCGCCCCTCGATCTGAGTATGGGTGGGGCCTAATCTGTGACTTTATTTTTTCTTAATATACATATATAATATTCTTTGAACAATACCATACTCAAAGTCATGTTTTAAATCTATTGTAGAGAAATAAGGATTTTGCAGTTAAGTTCCGCCTTCTCGACCCACGGACGAATAAAAAAAATCATCACAATTGTGATAGGGCGGGTGGGTGGGGCAACTTTTTACTTCTTTTTCGCGATATATGTAGACTTATTTGGACAAAAAGAAACTTAAAACATGTCTAAAATGGTAAATTTTTGTAGTAATCAACTTAAATTCTCCAGTTTTCTTCTACAACCCCTTTAAATACGGCAAAAGTTGAACATCAAAGTTACTATCAACGGCAACTTGGCAACGGAGTTTATAAATGACAATTTTCAGCTATAAAAGCCAAGGGCGAGCTTAACTACAACATAAAAAGTCATCAGAAATGCGATCGGGTGGGTGGGCGGGGCTTATATTTTGCCTTTTTT